TGGAGAGGGGAACCGTGCACTCACATTGCAGATCAAACCCTGGAGAAATGTTAAGCACTAATGCTATTCTTTATTTTACCAGAGGCTTGATTACTTCCATCAAACCATTCAACAAACCTAGTCACTCATTTCAGTCAGTGTTTATTTAATTATTGAGTGAAGTCAATAAACAAACTCTTTACTTGAATCAGTCAGGAATGTAAAACAGTTGTTAAAACCGAGTCAATGTATTAATTGCAGGTTTAAATCCAGCCATCAATTGATTCAGTTATTTAAAGACAATGTTATTCCCTTTTTATTTAATTAATTTACTAACTCGCTCAATAAATTAATTTACTCAGGATTGCAATTGGTTTCAATTTGCCAATTCTCTGTCCCTGTGGAGCAGTCAGTGATCCAACCACATATGTCCTTTGACACATGTATATCAGGGTCAACTGACTGTTAATTACCCCAATCCTGACCTCTCCGTATGGATCATGGTCAAGAACAGGAACTTCAGCCAATTTACCACTCCTAACCCAAGGGCATTTTACACAACAACAACAACTTATATTTATATAGCACCCCTCAGCATCACAGAGCGCTTGACAGTGGCGGTGCTTGATGCTGAGCTGAGGGGAGGTGACCGTAGGCACGGTCGAAGAGGAAGATCTTCAGGCGCGACCTCAAGATGGGAAGGAAGGGGCAAGACGGAGAGATAGAAGAAGAGTGTTCCAGAGTTTTGGAATGCCAAGTAAGTGCTGTTTGGCTGTGGTTTGGGATATTTGATTGCCGCTTGCTTTGCCTTTGTAAAAATGTTAGCGAACACGTGCTCTGCCCCCCATTATAACGTGGTGGTTTAGGTCCATAAAAGTACACCTCGCATTATAATGAGCAAGTCAGCGACTGCTTTGTTCCGCACCCTGGGACAGGGGGTGCCTGCAATCCACCCGCAGGTCCGCACACTGGAAGGAATCATGTTATAACAGAGCAGACTGGATTTGGCCGACTGTGCTGCCAGTTTAAGGCAGCAACCATCTGGTTTCGCATACACGCAAATGCACACGCCCTGGACTGTGGAAAGGGACATGGCAGGCCCTTTTACACGGAGCCCTTCCACGTCAGGACGACGTCTCAATGTGCTTGACGGTTGAATGGTATTTGTTCATTGCTTGTGTTTTGCCAACAGAAGGCTGAGTTGTGACCAATCAAAAAAGTGCCAAAATGTTGCCGGTTTTGAGTAGGTCATATCAAGGGTATTGACACCATCTTTGTGGACTCCAACCCAACTCTTGTCCTCCAGCACCTCAATGTGCACCTCTGACTGCACCAGTGTTATGAGTAGGATTGCTTGAACACTGGTGAGAACATGATTATCGAGGGCTGAAGAGGGCTGAAAGGTTGCGTTGAGTGGATATCCATCTCTGCCAGCTCGCACTTACTGGATTGGAACATTCTATCCATCTGGTCCTTCGGTGTATGCGGCTTAAATGCTGGAAAATATCTTAAAGGTCAGCAGTGAAATCAAGATGAGTGTTTAAGAGGAACAGTGTGCTCGCTCAGCATACCAAGAGGGAGAAAAGCTCTCACAGCCACATTGCGGTGTATTAAACAGACATTGACAATTTTCTCCTGTGCCAGTGAGTGTATGCAGGGCTTATCGCCATGCCCGCCAGACCTGTACACACTGCCGATGGTGTCCGTCCGTGTCAACAACACCGTACCTGGGCATTTATCTGTGCTTGTGATAACTGAGACACAAAAGCATTTTCAAAATTAAATATCCGACCACAAAATACACAGTCAATTCACTTTACAGTTGTATCCTGTGAAGCGCTTTGAGACGTCTCGAAGACGTGATAAGGCGCTATATCAAATGCAAGGATTATTATTGTTGAACATTCTTTTACACCATTGTTTTTGTGGAGAGAACCACAAGCAAGAACGACCTTGCCTTTCTTCAGAGATCAGTGCATCCCAGTGTAAAACTGTACTGCATTGTTTAAGTGCAGCGATCATCGATCGATCGATTAAAACAATAATAAATTGGTCATTTTCAATCCACGACTGTTTGCGGGACATTGCTGTGCGCAATTGGCTGCCGCGTTCGCCCACAAATATACAGTCAATTCACTTTACAGTATATTCTGTGAAGCGCTTTGGGACGTCCTCCCGACGTGAAAAGCGCTATAACAAATGCAAGGATTATTATTATTATCGAATTGGCAATTGCGCTTTAAGCAGACCCGTGTTACAATGGAGTACCTTACAACAGCGATCCATAAGCAACTGGGCAAAGGCCTTGAGTAGTGAAATCGTTTTATTGGTGTGTGCGGCATTGCTAACACATTCTAAGCAGAATCAGAAAGAATCCTTGGAGATAAGGATGGAACGGGTATACATATTTGGAAGATATTGTCTTACGTTGATTCTCTCTCTGTCTCGGGGTCTTGGGACATCCTTCCGACGTGAAAGGAAAGGTGCTATATAAATTTAAATTTGTTGTTGTTGGAATATTATTGTTCAACCTGAAGCTAGTTTTTATTGTCTGGGCAGACGGTTATGAACCTTTGTGGGAACAATGTCCAGGAGGGAAAACCTAGCATTGCAACCTCCATCATTCGCTGCTTTTCTCAAATAGTTTAATCCTAACGGAAGTAAGGCTACCCTGCGTGAGTGGTGCTAGATAAATGCAAGTTGTTGTTGTTATTTTTGTATGATGATGATTTGTGGGAGTTAATTAACCAAAATACATCGTAATTTAAAAGATTACCAGTTACAGGAATTTTACTCATTAAAAATAGCTCCCACTGAAATAGCTATCGCTCCTGTGATATCTGCCCTTCTGATTTTCTAATTAAAGAGTCCAGAAATACACGCAGAAATAAATTTGAGAATTTGACGACGCATTCTGTGCAGGAGAGAGACGTTTTCACACTGCACAACCGTAACAAAAATAACCCCATTTTAATAATGCCTCACAAGCCCTTTACTCTATCAGAAGCCTCATATCCCAGCAGTTCAGTGAGTAGGACACAGTGGAATAATTTCATAGTTTGATTTCAATACAGGGAAGTACTCATTTGATTTGCATTGTGACAACACATGAAAATATATCCGTCAAACTAAAACATTCAAGATTCTCTTCAGATCGTTTATGCCTTGAGTGCTCGGCATGCATTTCAGACTTCAACCCCCAGTTATTAGGGATATTAAATTGAAGAACTGCAGCGTGTGGAGTGTAGCTCATGTAATGTCTCCCGTTGTCGGGCATTGTGTCACACTGAAATAATGATATCGAGTCATTTGCTGAATGCAGTTGCTGACACCGCTGTGAAACGTGCTCTGTTGCTGCCCCAGATATAGTCGTACATCCTCAGCTAAACGAATCCTACCTCCAGACAAGTGCTTGCTATCAGCTAGCTGGCATTATTACAGGAAGTCTTTTGTTTTTAGCCCTTGATAATAAATGGAAACAGTGCATTGGGAGCAGAACAAATCATAATCCTTGCATTCGATAAAGTGTCTTTCATGTCAGGAGGATATCTCAAAGTGCTTCACAGGATTCACTGTGGAGTTGAGTGACTGTATCTTTGTAGGCAAGACACACGCCTCTGTTTACCTAGCGGTACGTAGGAACCCGATTGTTAGTTGATTGGCGGATTTCTTTCCGGGGGTAATAATTCCTTCAAAAAAATAATATATTGGCCATTTCAATCCACCCTGCTGTGCGCAATTGGCTGCCATGATTTGCCCACAAAAATATACAGTCAAATATACACTATATTCTGTTAAGCGCTTTGAGATGTCTCAAAGGCATGATAAGGCGCTATATCAAATGCAAGGATTATTATTATTGTTTATTATAGGCAGCCAATTTGTCCACAGCAATATCCCACAAACATTTAATGGAATTGAATAAGTTCTTAAAGCAGGTGTTCACCAAATACATTGAGTGATTAGTTACAGCCAAAAATTTATGTTAGCACTGATTTACTAGTTATTATAATATAGACACTATCTGTCCAAAAAGCTACTCAGTGCCCCCCAAAAAATGATAGATTTTTGGCAGAATAGATTGATTTTACTTTATTGGAATTGACCAACTGAACAGCAATTGTCTTTTCCAGTCCTATATATCATCAGGTCAGAGGTTGCGTATTATTGTATGCTTTGCCAGCACTGATATTAAGTGATCCACTTTCATTTGCCTCCAGTTTATTCCAGACACAAATGACTTTGATTCGCAATAACAAAGTGGGCGTTTCCAATTGGAGATTAAAAATTTATTTTTCTTCCCGACAGAGAATAATACAGGAGCGATTACCACTCATTGCAACATGTCAGACAGAAACATACACAATGTGGAGTCCTTTACTCAGTGGTTAGAGCACTCGCCTCGAAAGCAAGACACCTGGGAACGATTCCTTGGCAGGGTGAAATGTTGGGCAAGTTTCCTTTGTTTACCGAGCAGTAAGTTAATCGATTGGCCGATCGCCTTTCTGGAGGTAATATTCCCTTAAAAATAATAATAATTTGGTCATTCAATCCACGACTGTTTGTGGGACACTGCTGTGCACAATTGGTTGCTGCGTTTTGTCCTCAAAATATACAGTCAATTCACTTTACAGTATATTCTGTGAAGCACTTTGAGACGTCTCGAAGACGTAAAAAGCGCTATATCAAATGTGAGGATTATTATTATTATAGCATTGGGAAAAATGAATCCAGAACAGTGGGAGTCAATGTAAGAGGAGAGGCCCCAAAATGAGAGCGGGGTGTGAGTACAAATCGAGCCAGAGCATTGTACGAAAAGTTGCACAACAGGTGTACAGATCTTAAAGGATTAGCACAAAGGTTAAGATGTTCACAGGCTAATGCTGATCAACGTATACCTGATCCACACTAAGCTTATGTAAAATGCATTTGGTTAAGGTTTCCTTGCGACTAGCTCCGGGGACAATGTCTAATGAAAGGGCTTCCAGTGTCAACGAAAACAAATTCAATGATATGCAATCTGTTGGCATGATGATCATTATATTATACAATACATTCATTTCTCACAGTGGTGCATTAGTTTGGCCTTTTATCACAGTACAATAATTCAAGCGGTTTGTTACAAACATATGCATACTTTATATGAAGACATGCTGAGAACATTCTCAGTTGCTGTAAACACAATGTTTAAAAGTGTAAGACTTTGTGTCCCTATATCATAATTATTTATTTATTAATTAAAAATAATAAAATACAATATTTCCTTCATTGGGGTTGGAGGTACCAGTGCAAGGGAATCGGACATTTCAGTACGTAAGTGAGTAAGTAAGTAAGTGAGTAAGTAAGTAAGAGAGAGAGAAAGAGCAAGGCTCCATCTCTGGGCTGGATCACAGCATGTTCTGTAGCAGAAAGGAGAGCAGTTTACAAATCCACTTCATTTCAAATGCAAGGATTATTATTATTATTGTATGAGCTCCACGTTTTAGTTGAATACTAGGTACATTCAGAACAAAAGGTGGAATAATTGGTGCAATAGATTGCGGATCTTAGGTGAATGTTAGAATTGGTTTCAGTGTCTCTGGGTCAGGAAGAGTGAAATAAGCTTACTGCTGATTGCTGTCTGACACCTGCTAAAAAGTGCACAAGTGCTGCGTTTGGCTGATAGGATTGACCTGTGATGCTTCTCCCAGTCACACAACCTGCCCTGATCACTGTCAGGGCTCCCACCCCAATAGCCAAGGCATGGGCAAGCTCCCAGTGTTGGCACGGACAAAGGAGGAGCCATTCTCCTTCTGTGGCAGAGAAAACGGGAAGGGAAAAAGTAACTTTTCACAAAATGTTTAAATTTCTAACAAGCAGCATCAGTGCTAGAGAGAGAGAAACACTATATAATCAAACAATGAATGTGCACTGAATCACAGTTCTTCTCTGGAAATTCTATATAATCGATGTTTGCGTGTACGGGTGGGTGGGTGAGTGGGTGGATGGGTGGTTTGAAGGGTTTCTCAAATACTCGGACGTTGGGAATGGAAATTATAGCCCACAGGATTCCCTGCCCCGGTCACAGGGCGAGTCACCAGGTGGTTTGATGGTGCGTATCCTTGATGTCCATCCACTTTCACCAGCCACCAGTCATTGGTTCCTCTTTTGTCATGAGCTTCCAGTACAGTGACCATCTGTCCTTGCTGTAGGGTGACTTCGTTAGGTCCTCTTGCTATGAACTCATAGGCTGCGAAAACCTGAAACATAAAAACATGGAAACAAGAGTAGGCAATTCAGCTCCTCGAGCCTGTTCCGCCATTCTATAAAATCATGGCTGATCTGTAACTCAAGTCCAATTTCCGCACTTACCCTGTACCCCTTATTACCCTGAGCTAAAAAATAGCTATCCATCTCAGTCTTGAAGACGTTCCATCCAATCAGATTTGTGCTGTGAGATTGGGAAGTCTCCTAATAAGAGAGGTTATGTTTATCTTTACTCCATTTTACAAATAAACAGTCACTACACCTTTGAGCAAATTTGGGAGGTGTTCAGAGTTGTCTCGAGCTGTATCCAATGCAAGCATTATTATTATTATTTAGATTTGAGTCTTCATACAGAAGTATCATCTCACTAGAACCCTGCTCTGCGGTAATTCACTGTTAGCCTCATGTTCAGTGACAGAATTTCATCAGTTACTTGGGCTCTTCCTTTCCTTCACTCCAATATCTCACTCCTCTCGGCTGGGCCTTGATGGGTGTGAGTGTGTTTGTGATATGTGCGCTGGGTGTGTGCTCTTTTGGTTGAGCCATGGGAGGAAGGAGTGTTTTCCAAGATTTTCCTCCTTCCTCAGCTTGAGGTCGCACCTGAATTCCTTCCTCTTTGACCGTGCCTACGGTCACCATTAACTCTAGTTGTTGTTGCTGTTGTTGAGTGGAGAGGATCTCACAGTGGATGGGATTGAGCTTTTGTCTCACACCTACCCATGGTAAGCGAGTGGCCCACTCTTAGTGTGACGTCACACGTGTTTTGGAGGGGCTGATAGACACATCAGTGCTTTTCACTGATCTGTGGTAGGAAGCAGTCAGTTTGTGTTTCACAGTGAAGGTCAGAGTCACACACTGCACATAGAGATACGGTATCACACATGGTAAATCAGTCAGCAATTCACAGGAACATTTGCTAAATGAATAAGTAAACTGTTTACATTTGATCCTATGAGTGAGATGGTTTTACCTGATACTGTGTGGCTGGGATCAGAGGCAAGACTGGGGGCTCGAGGAAAGAACATGATCGGCTTCTGATCCTTTGATCAACATCGCCCGGAGCTGAACATGTTGCTGACAGGAAGCTATTTGGCTGGGTTGGCGTTTGGTACGGTCTCAGTTTTCCAGCGGGAACATATCCTCTCTGACCTTTTGGAAGAAATGGAAAGTTTTAAAGGATTGCACTGAGCTCCAGTAGTGGGGGAGCGAGCACCAGCACAGACACGATGAGGAGAGAGCAGGAGAATGGGATCATACCAGACTGGTCCTCGCTAGAAGAACAATATGAATTAAGCGTAGGAAGTTCACAAGTGTGAAGCCAAGGAATTAGAGCAGGTTTGGGGATTGCTCCTGGTAACATCCCAGCACAGCAAACTGAGGAGTTGGCACCAGTATTGGGTGCATTTTAATTCCAGGTCAGATGTAAATGTCACGTACGACAGCGCTCAGTCAAGAGATACACTGTGTCCCTACAATCATAATAATCTTACATTGGAAATAGCTCCTTTCACATCAGGAGGTTGCAAAAAGTGCTGATTCTGACCACTGGGATGATTCTCATCTATTCTGGGTTTCAGTCACTTATTAGCCCAAAGCTAAGTTCTATCTGTATTTAAATTACAAAACAACTTCCTGTCTCAAAGGGTGTTTGATAATCACATCTACAGACTCCTGAAAAACACCAGTCTAAAGATTCACAATGATTTAAGTGATTGACGGAACCCGCACTATACAGTAATAGTCTGCTTTTATTTTGGGCTTGGCTCACAAAAAGCCGGGTAGAAAAACTAAAGGGGGCATCTCTTAACGTTTCAGGTGGCGCATTAAACGCGGATAGCTCTTAAATCCAGTCCGGAGGCTGATTCTTAAAACAAACTTTAACGAAAGATTATCGACCTGAAACATTAACTAATTTTCCTCTCTCCATAGATGCTGCCTGACCTGCTGCGTGTTCCCAGTGACTTCTGTTTTTATTTATTCCTTAAAAACAAGCTCCAAATGAAAGCCGGGCTTAGCTGGGAAAGCAATCTGCGGAACCTTGTGTCACTATGAAGAACCATTACAACAGTGTGAAATTGTTACCTCCTGTGTCCATCAACCACCTGTTCTTGTTCTGTTTGGTGTCTCTGGCCTGCAGAAGAGCCACAAAGTCACCTCTGTGGAGAGATAACTCCATGTTTCTGCTCCCAGAGACGTTGCTTGTAAGTTGGTAGATTTTTTCGGGGCTGTATTTTTTGATGAGCTTCTCCAGTGTGCGTTCAGCGAGCGGGCTGAGAGGCTGAGGGGAAAGATGAATTGAAAAACATCTGTCATTTCTCAAAGCAATCCACCTGCCCCACTGTCTGCCATTATTAATAATAATATTAATAATAATAATAATCCTTGCATTTGATATAGCGCTTTTCACGGTTTCTAGACATCTCAAAGCGCTTCACAGAATATACTGTAAAGTGAATTGACTGTATATTTTGTGGGTGAAACGCGGCAGCCAATTGTGCACAGCAGTGTCCCACAAACAGTTGTAGATTGCGTGACCAATTCTTTTTATATTATGATTATTTATTATTAAATGAATATTTTTAATTTAATATATCCAATTATTCCCTAGTCAGTCAGTGGTGACGGCAGCCAGGAGACTTCTCTCTCAAGATGACAATGTCAATGTGTTTGGATGCTGTCTTAAATCCATTGGGGTGGGGGGGGGTTAAAGTTTGTGATATTTCTTAAGTCCTCCTTAAGTTAGCACCAGCGTTAAGTGAAGAAGTTCGCAAACTTTACTTCCCTGAAAACAGCTGCTGTTTTGCTGGTAAAACCTGTTCTTGTGGCTGAGGTTAAAATGGATTGAATAAGAAAGTGGTAGCAGAGCTGTAAAGCTTAGCAGAGGCTGTTGATGGAGAGAGTTTAGCAGCTTACAGCGATGGCCTTATGGCGCTTCAGGTAACCTCACATCACAATATATTTAAAAATAAAATAATCTTTTTGCCAGGCAGTGGCTGGGTATGAAAAGTATCACACATCACCCGATTTCCTTCTAATTAACAACTCCCATCCTCTCCTGGCTCCCTCAGCAGCTTTGTGCTATAATGAGGGGCTCTCCAATGGAGGTCGGACCTTTCTCGCCAAGTCACCAACCTCTTCTGCCAAGTATTCTTTATTGGAATCGAAGGTCTCGATGAACTTGCTGAGCTTGGTGTTCGACGCCTGTAGTGTTTCCTCCGTCTGTTGCCAGAAACCCCTCAAAGCGGCGTCGCTCAGTGGGAACTGAAAGACAAAAGGGTTTTTCTCTGTCACCAAATAGCTCACTGCATTACTAGTTCAACAGTAGCTTTCAAAAGGGAATTGGATATGTACTTTGAAAAGGAAAAGTCTGCAGGGCTATGGGGTAAGAGTCGGGGAGTGGGACTAGTTTGTAGCTCTTTCAAAGAGTCGGCACAGGCACGATGGGCCGAATGGCCTCCTTCTGCGCTGTAGGATTCGAGGACATGTGCTCAATCCCATCTACCAATACATCAGTGATCGCTGACACTGAGCTGGGTTTGCAGGCCTGAGGAAACTACATTGGGTGGGATTTGGAAGTTTGATATTGAAGCCTTTAAAGATGATTTGATTTGCTAAGAGAAAGCCAAGTGGGGAAAGGTTCAGAAATAGCAGCTGGAGTTGTGGAAACAAAATAAAGCTTCAATTAGTCGAGCGAGAGAGAGAGAGAGAGAGAAGGCCAGTCAGCTGTGGAGGGGGTGGGCTTTGCTATAAATGGAAGCCAGTAAGAAATGCATCTGGTGTGTTCAGTGGTAAGATAGTGTGAGATGTCGCTTTGACCAAATATTGCACAATGACGGACTTCAGTACATTTCCCAGATCTCTACATCTGAACCGATCTTCTTCAATGGAGACAGGCTGAGATCAGGTGACAAATCATTTCTCACAAAGCACAATAGTGTAAAGTATATATAAAGCAAACGGCATATTGATTTTTATTGAAATAACCAGATAGGAGCAGCGATTGGGAACAGAGAAAAAGACTAGCAAGCTTTGACCTTGGCAGAGACTGTCTGTACAGACACGGAGCAAAGTTGTCTCATCTTTTCACCCCATCTTGAATTTCTATTTCTCTGGTGTCTCGGTGACAAGCCGAGTGGCATGTGTTGCGCGAAGCACGTTGTATATTTAAGGCAGATGATTTCTTGCTCGAAGAAATCAATGACAAGATTGCCTGCTGTGTTCCTGGCTGGGATCAGCTGGCTTAGTGCAGGCCTGGGATTGAACCTTCACTGTCCCCAAGATATCAGCGATACATTTACCCAAACATCCATCAGAGGGAGCCCAACTCCACTCTAAATCTAACAGGAGAAGTCCAATCCGTGGCTTTCAACGGAGCATTTCTGTTGCTTGAGAAGAACTGGGACATTGCTTCGAACAGCACCTATTAGAGCTCACTTATCCTGTTGCTGTAGATAAGACCTGGCTCTCGCCAACGTTGCTTAATACATCCTGGAGATAGGTAAGAAAGGTGCGTCCACTTGCAGAGCGAGTTCACGTTCCATTCCAGACGGGGGGGGGGGGGGGAATTCCATGCATTGGTGGCATTCATACACGGAACTCTGTCTGGATAAGAGACTCTTAAGCAAGGCGATGGGTCGCTCATATCAGACCACTCCCCACCCCACCCCACCCCCCCAAAAAGGAAACCACCTATACGTTCAGGTTAAGAGCACATCTTATGGGTGGATCAGGAGGGCCACCCAGTGGTCATGCTTGGGATAGATTGAAATCTCTTTCCCCTCACAGCCAATGAGCCGACTTCAAATTCTCTGATCAGTCTTGATATTTCAGTTTTTAATAACTGTTATTGTGACATGCTTTTAGTCTGGTTTACATTCTGCGTGAAATATCTGTGCATTTGCCCTACTGAGAAATGCTACATGCTGACAAGTTTTACCAATCCACAAAGATATACACAGACACACTCACCCAGACACTGACAGATACACGTACACACATACATACCCGCCCTGTAAGACGAGTTTCCACACTCCGTCCTTGTGGTCCGAATGCATGGGCCATTTAGCTCAGAACTCAGTGCGCGTTACAGCTTGAATGGCAGCTTAAATAGGCCAACACTGCAAAAGCCTTTTACTTCTGACTCCTTACAGTCTTGAGGGAGTTGAGATTTTCTTTTGCACGGCATGAGCTATGAATTCATCTTCTCTGCCCCCACCTTCCGGAACTCCATCCCACAGTCCCTCCACCTCGCCCGCTCCCTTGCCTCCTTCAATAATAATAATAATAATAATCCTTGCATTTGATATAGTGCTTTTCACGTCTTCTAGACGTCCCAAAGCGCTTCACAGAATATACTGTAAAGTGAATTTACTGTATATTTGTGGGCGAACGCGGCAGCCAATTGCGCTCAGTAATGTCCCACAAACAGTCATGGATTGAAATGACCAATTTATTATTGTTTTTTTTTGGAGGGATTATTATTAGACTCTGTGTGGAGTAAGGAATCTTGCCCAAGGTTTCGCCCTCTGCCTGGAATTGAACTCAGGTCTTTCACTTGCAAAGCGAGTGCTCTAACCACTGAGCTACAGGACTCCACAAGACCCGACTCAAGACCCTCTTCTTCGACCGTGGATTCCGTCACCCTCCTACCCCTACCCTCCCTGCTGTCCATCCCTCCTGATCCCAACTACCAGCTTGGGTTTGGATCCCTGACTGTCCAGTACCTTGGGACGTCTTCCTGACATGAAAGGCGCTATATAAATGTAATTTTGTTGTTGTTGTTGAATACTCTACCCAAACCTCCCTCCACACTAATACCCAGAGGTCAAACCCTACCTGGTGCAGGTGCTGGTTCGTTAACTGCAGAGTACTGGAAGCCATGTCACGATGAATCGCCAAGGTTGCTTGAAGAATCTGGGTCAGTAACTGAATGACGATTGTGTTAAACCTCGGCAGTTCAGTGAGTAATAAAGAATGGATTGCTTGATAAGTCTGACTCTCAGCTTTCTCCTCGTAAGAGACACTACTTTCCTCTCTCAACTTCTCTTGAATTTTTTCATAATCCAACATTTTATCGTAATGTTTCCGCATCAGCTGCTGAGGTCTGGCGAAGAGGGTTTGAAGGAGGCACAGTGGTTTGTGAACCATTGTTTGCAGTCTTTCTTTCTGTGCGAGAGGGAAGTGGTTTAAAATGACAAAAGGTTGGAATGAAAACAAAATAAGCCTTACCACATCGCTGAGACGTCTCAAAACGCTTCACAGAATATAATTAACTAATCCTTGCATTTGATATAGCACCTTATCACGTCTTCAAGACATCTCAAAGTGCTTCACTGAATATATTGTAAAGTGAATTGACTCTGTATTTTGTGGGCGAAACGTGGTAAACAATTGCGCACAGCAGTTTCCCACAAACAGTTGTGGGTTGAATGAACAAATTTAAAAAAAAAATTGAAGGGATACCTGGAAAGTGATCCATCAATCGACTAACAACCAGGTTTCTACTTACTGCTAGGTAAACGGAGGCGTATGGAGTAAGAAAACTTGACTAAGGTTTGGCCCCGCCCTGGAATCGAAAATGATTATACCCTACTAATTGCACACTCTTGAACTGCTTTCACTTGGACTTACAAAGCCAGGAATTGTCTGCTGATGGAGCGAGTTGACAAACTCCTGATAACAAAGGGTGTGGTGCTCCTTCACCAGCTCAAACGGGCCACGGTAAGGTCTGAGACTGTGAAAGTGCTGGAATAACAGGAAGGAAAGCGAAGACAATTAAGGTGCTGGGGAAAATCAGGTCCGACATTTGTTCCATCGTTTAATTAATGGCTGACATTCGACACACTGACTCACAACAACAACAAATTACATTTGTATAGCGCCTTTCACTTCGGGAGGATGTCCCAAGGTTCTGGACAGTCAAGGATTTATAAATCAGATATTATAAATATCTTGCATATCCTGTTTGTAAAGGTTGCTAAATATATGGGGAGGACAAGGTTGCTAAGTATATGGGGAGAGAGTGGGGAGTGGGATTGATCGGGGCTATGGGGAGACAGCGGTGGAGTGGGGTTTATCAGGGCTATGGGGAGAGAGCGGGGGAGTGGGATTGAATTGGATAGCTCTTTTCAAAGAGCCAGCACAGACACGATGGGCCGAATGGTCTGCTTCTGTGCTGTAAAATTCTATGATTCTATGATATCCTCGGGCAGATAGCATTAGTCCGCAACCCTTCCTTCCTTCCCCCTGACTCCCTGATGTTAATACCGAATGCTCGCACAACAGACACAGGAAGATGAATCAAGTTCTCTTTTGAGAAGCTTATTCCTCGGTGCGAGTTTGACACTGAGTGACTGGTGCAGATGCAGCAAACACACATTATATGAGCATTGCAGAAGCAGTTTTTGACCACATGTAATGTAATATGAGGAAAATTACCTTGCCTCCGAAACTCTCATCTTAATGTTCCTGTGGGAGGACTTTGATCCCTTGATGTATTCTCTGATAGTATTTAAAATCAGAAAGGCCATGAGCTGCACTTCTGCGGAGAATGTATTTCCTATCGTTTGGAGATCATTTTTATATATTGATCCAAATCTCTACCTGTCTATTCTTTGGCTGCCCTTCAGTGCCAATGCATTTCACGTCCATTATTACCACAGATCTGGCCTGTCCACAGATGACTAACTGCAAGTTACGTGGTGAGTGAATTCAGTGGAGGGGAGTGTTTCCTTGGCATGACTTGTTTTGATATGTTTTATTGCGGGGCAAATGTTTTTATTGAAGTTGCTGTCATGGGACAAACAATGAAGAGCTTCAGCACTGTTACTGCAGCTGCTCTCATTAACAGGGACAAGGGTCTGTCAGGCCAGCAGCACTGAGCACAGGATGACAGTCAGTAACACAGCTGTGTGGTTGGATCCAGGCACCGGTGAATATTACTTGTGTAAAAGAGATTCTTGTATCACACGCGTCTCCTCTCGTCTCACACACCATTCACACTCCTGTACCTCTAGATTAGTGATGTAGTTTGCAGTGCTTTCTTTCAAGGCCGCAACACATTTCTCCAACATGTTGAAGGTCTCCACTAGATCATTGTAATCCTTGTCTTCCACCTAGTGATGGTTGGAATAAAGAAGTATTAATTACTGGTATTATCCTCATCCGATGGTGACTAATAGTGTTGTGTTGGTGATCTTGTTCTTTAGTCCAAACTGTATGGTTTGTGGTCTGTGTTTCATTGTTTCTTTCATGTCAAAGGAAAGCTATCAGCTAGTTTCAGTCTACAGAAATGGTGGGACACACATCCTTCAGGAAAATACAATTATGGATTTAGAATGAAACTTTCTTGCCAACAAATACACTGAGAATTAGTTGACTTCCCGAGCTGGGAAACTGTTCTTCCTACACTTCCTGAGATTGAAACGCAACAACTCCTGGATATTATCTCAGCACAAGAATTCATGACTCGGTTACCATCCACCTCTAACCTACCACCACCCCAGCGCACTAACCTCGCTTCCTCTCTCGAGCAAGTGAGATGCATTACAATGATGTTTCGTAGTCAGTGATAACTTTGCATTCTTTTCCTGAAATAGACTAAATGGTTTGAAATACAATCAGATGTAAACTGGGTGTGATTCACGTTCCAATATAGATCCACTCTGTAACTGGGCAATCTTGCCAGTTATAATAATAATAATCCTTGCATTTGATATTGCGCCTTATCACATACTTGAGACGTCTCAAAGCGCATCACAGGATATACCGCAAAGTGTAGTGTCTGTGTATTTTGTGTGAGTTCACTGTCACACTTGTTCTGTCACACTAGCTCGGTAACACTGATGAAAGTTGTCCCTGATTTTAATTGTAGAAAGAAACGTGATCTCATATGGTAGCATTATAATGAGATTAACAAACCGTCTGGCAAACAGTTTACCTTTGGCAGGATACCAGTCTCGTGTTTAATGACCCTGCTCAGTCGCGAAGCTTTCTTTGCGATCGAATGCTTGTTTATCCTATTTAACTTGTCCCTGATTGAAAGAGTTTCCATTTTGCCATATTTCGATGCTGTTGGAATCAAAAAAAAATGTTTTTAAAAAAAGCATCGAAAAGTCCAATACCAAAAAATCCACATTTGTTCTTTTCAAAATAAAATAAATGAATAATTTAATTATTAATAACTTAATTATTTTATTATGGTTATCACGCAGAATAGTTCTGGCTAATTAGAGAGGAAACCAGCTCCTATTAGGACTGAAACACGGAGTGCTTCTTACCCACTTCCTTCCGCCTTTTATACTCGTTGATGTTATGGTTAATTTCCTCCATCGCCCTGGTAGCTTTCTCCAGTGCCATGTAACCCTCATCAGATGTTGGGGTACTTTCCAGCAGACTTTTTAACAGCAGTGGATATTTTCCGATCCTCTGCACTGGTTTGACTAAAAAGAAGCTTAATTCTCGTGTCTGACAGGTACCTATCAGATGTCTGTTGTGAAATTCAAACACATTTAGTTACATTAACTATTTGTGTTGCAGGAATAATCTTCTCACAAAAATCACTTCAGCCACTGTATAAAATAATAACAATCCTTGCATTTGATATAACACAGTGCCTTCTCAATGTGACCAAATTATTATTATTACATTTTTTGGGGGGAGGGATTTTATTCGCGGGAGAGGGGAGATTCGTGATACCAACAGTGAATTTCTCTCTCTCTCTTTCTCTCTCCCTGTCTCTCCAGAGGGACAGGCCTGGGAGTGTGCTGTGGGCTTTACAGTGTTCCGGTACATTTGATATTTAAAGCTATGGGCTTCAATGAATATAAATGTGTTGTAAGAAAAAAACTCACATAAGTCTGATCTGCATAAATCGTATTATCGCCAAAGTCGTATATCTATCCCAGTCCCGTTGAATTTAGTATTATTTATAAGTTTCACACAACTCATACTTTGGTTGGCCAAGCAGCAGAAAAGCTTGCCAGACTGCGATATCAATGGCAAGCTATGCGGTTTTAGCTGTTCGAAGCAGTTATATAATAATATAATATAATAATCCTTGCATTTGATATTGCGCTTTTTCACGTCTTCTCGACGTCTCAAAGCGCTTCACAGAATATGCTGTAAAGTGAATTGACTGTATGTTTGTGGGCGAAATCCTTGTTACTGGCGAAATCCAGTTACCCCCATTGCACACCCAAGCCTCAGCTCTTGCCAACCTGTGCCTAATACTTTCCCGGAATTAGGTAAGCAGGAGGCGTCCCTCCAGGGAGAGAGTGCGCATACTATTCCAATAAACATCTCTGGGGTTTCCATGTGTAGGTGGGATGCATGGAATTCTCAGCTTGGTTTGGATAATCTTAAGCAACGGTGATGGGTTTTCGCAAGTGTCAGACACGTGGCTGACCCCCAAAAAATCATACTTTGCATAAGGCATATTAAATGTATGGTCCCAACTGATACAACTTGGGAGGTTAACTATATTCCTTACTCAAATGTCTTCAGAGTCTCACTGATTTCTGTCCTGATCTTTTCATCCTTCTTATAACTGGATTCGAGCAAGATGGTGTTGGGATAGTTGACGCAGTATTCTTTGTAAGTCTCCTCCAGCTGTGGTTTGTAGGTGAGGAAAACATTACCTGCACATTGAGAACATGGTTACAAGATCTTCCTCACTACAGCACTTGCTTGGTTCTGAACGATGAGATTTATACACACAGAGAGAGGGAGACTGGCTCTCCATTGCTGTGTCAGATTCCAGCTGTTCATCTGACACAGCCGAGGTGGTATTATTAATACTAATATAATAATAATCCTTGCATTTGCTATAGCGCCTTAACACGATGTTGAAACATCTTGAAGCGCTTCACAGAATGTACTGTAAAGTGTAGTGACTGTATAATTTGTGGGTGAGACACAGCAGCCAATTGCGCACAGCAGTGTCCCACAATCAGTCGAGGTCCCACAAACAGTCTATGGAGAGAAACACTTCCTGGTTCTCGTGTCTGTAACCCAGAGGGCTGACCTGAATTTTACCAAGTGCGATCAGGTTTGGCAGAGCCAACAATCACTGTTGGCTTTATATTAGGTTGGGATTGGCCAGGAGGGTTTGGCTGAGGGGAGCAGCGATGTTGGCAATATTTACTTATCAGGAGGATTTGATCAGGTTTCCCAGAAACTGCTTCCAGCTGTGTGACCAGCTCGGAGGCCAGACGCTGCACCTCCTCCGTGTTTAAGAACAGCCCGTCCAGGTCTAATCCCAGCTGCAGAGATAATAATAATCCTTTCATTTGGTACAAACACCTTTCACATCAGCAGGACATTTCAAAGCGCATCACAGGATATACTGGAAAATGCGGTGACTATGTGTTTTGATGACGACCAGCTATATTCACACAGCGACATCCCATAAACAGCCATGTAGTAAATGACCAATTTTATTTGGGGGGAATTGTTCGCCAGCTCACCAGGAACTAGGAATTTCCTTCTCTTTTTGACTAGAACAACAACAACCCCCTGTGAATTAGATCCCTGTGTTCCAAGGGGTCAGTCACAACAGCGATCCCCTTCCTGTGCTAATTAGTGCAACATCAAACCTAAAGCCCTCAGACGCTTTCCGCAGCGGTGTTTGCGCTTAGATCGCGGTTTTCGCAACACTGCGGCTCGTGTCATCTGCCTTAACTGTTTACAACAACAACAACTTGCATTTATATAGCGCTCTTCACGCGGTGTGGAGTCCCGGAGCGCTTGACAGTGGCGGTGTCTGCCCCCGAGCCAGTGTCTACCCCAAACCATAAACTTTGGAGAAAGCTCTTACCTGTTTGGATTCTAAGTGCTGACGGATATCGGTCCCGCAGACCTGCAGCAGCCCGGCGTAGCTCCTCTCGGTGGTCAGGAGCTCCTCAATCACGTTCATTTGCTTTTGCAGCTGCTTGTCGGGGTGCATGAAATCGCTAATAACCTCTTCATAAATAGCTGAGTCGTCCATAGCGACAGGACCTGGGGGAAGAACAAGTCGTACAGCAGCGACTGCGGCTGCAATAATCACACACGAACTAACAGTGATCTGTGGTGACGTTAATCAGACACATTCATACCGGCTACTCCTACCTCAACATCTCTTATGAGATGCAATTCTCTCTTCAATTAGTTGAAATCTAATTCCGAAACTCAAGTCCAGCCCTTTCCTCCCATCCTGAGGATCTGAAACTGTTTTGAGCCAAAAGTGTTTAAGCCCAGACAATGGGGGAACTTCAGACTGTCTTTGCTTGCAGGCCAAAGCTTCTAGAATAATGTTGCTTCACCAAACAAAGCTGATCATTTAAACGTTGCGTACCTTTTAAGTATGACAAACAGCAGCTTTCTCAGTCTGTGCTGTTGCTGTGAGCCCAGCTCAGTACTCTCTCCTAATGTTACACCGACAGCTCCAATCTCAGGCTGATCTCAGCACAGTACGACGCTCAGTCAGAGCTATTGGGAAATGTTTTTCACTGCTGCCTCAAACCAGCAAAAAAAACACTGCGTTTACATTTTAGAATCATTCCGGAATGATCTGCACAGGGCAGCCGGTCGCTGTTGATTTTCGAAAGGAATTTCCTCGCCCACAACAGTGCACAAAGCTTCTTTATTCCATGCTCCTCCAAGGCTGATTTAATAAATGTAACTGAATTTCTCATACAGAATTTATTCCCGACTCTGTTAACTATCGCCCCATCCTCCTTTACAGTGTACCAACTGTACGCGCTCTGAAGCGCTTTGAGACGTCTCAACGATGTGATAAAGCACTATATCAAATGCAAGGATTATTTTTGTTATTATTATTAACAAGTCCTTGCCCACATCCACTGTGCTCTCCATCAAAAGCAGCTCTGAAAACGGCTGATTACTTTGCCTAAATAACATTCTGTTCTAAAGCAGCTCAATAATCACACGCTCATGTTTTGAAAATATATAAATTTCGGATATATAATCTCAAGTAATTAAGTATCAAGTGTTTTCAATTAAAACTTGATTTAAACACAATTAAGAAGACATCAAAAAGGATTGAACAGACTTTCTGATTTACAGATAAAAATAATAATAATCCTTATATTTAATATAGCACCTTATCATGTCTTCGAGAAGTCTTGAAAGGCTTCACAGGATATACTGTGAAGTGTAGTGACTGTGCATTTTGAGGGTGAAACACAGCAACCAATTGCACACAGCAATGCCCCACAAACAGTGGTGGATTGAGTGACCACATTTTTTTTGGAGAGGTTATTAATCCGCCAAAGCAATCCAGCAATCGACTAACAACCGGTTTCCTACTTACGTTTAGGTAAACAGAGGTGTGTGGAGTAAGGAAACGTGCTAAATGTTTCACCCTGCCCTGGAATCGAACACAGGTCCTCTGGCTTGCGAGGCAAATGCGCTAACCACTATACCACGGGACTCCACAAATACCAAAGCAGAAAGAATAAGAAGGGGGCAAAGTTGGAGTTACCCAGCCTTGTGGATTTCTCTGTTTTTCAAGACAGACTATCAAAAGGAATATTAGTTTATTAGAATAATAGTTAATGTATAAGCGATCTCCCACATATTTCATCCCTTCAGATGCACAAATCTAAAGTGTATCTTAGTCACATCAGTTCTGAGAAGCACTGCCGAAAGCATCTGAGAATAACTGAAACTAAAAATATCCTCACTAAAAAATATATTATTGGTCCCTCAATCCATGATTGTTTATGGGACACTACACAAAAATAATATACAGTCAATCCATGTTACAGTGTATTCTGTGAAGTGCTTTGAGATGTCTCAACAATGTGATAAGGCACGATATCAAATGCAAGGATTATTATTATTATCGTGGTGCTCGACAGCTTACCTTCAGATTTATGCAGCACTGCTGATGGCCTTGGAGGAACGACCTTACATACAGTATAAGTTGGGTCAGTTCATGTCCCTGGTTAATTATCAATGAGCTGGAAGCCATCTGACTCCGGAATAACAACAATGTGGTTGAACAAGTGCTTCCACCGTGACTACATTCTGTGCCACATACCTTCACTCCGTGATCGCCCGACCCTCAGCTTGTCAAACACATTGCTCAAGAGAAATCTCTTCCTGATGCACTCGAAATTACGCTCGAAAACGTGTAATGTTAAGAGAGTCACACACAGCACAGTAAATGGATTAAACACAAAGCTTTCTCTCTCTCTTCTCTCTCTGTGCGCTTGATTATGGTTTGACTGAAAAGCCAGTTGCCATAGGAACATTCTTGCAGGGCTGTAATTTGCACGGTTAATGCTGATGCAGTGGCTGATAATGTGGCGTGTAATTTAACCACATGGAAATTCTTGCTGTTAAGTATACAGTGCTGTAGGTGTACTCTTTCTAGCACTGGCGTGGGAATAACAGTAATAATAATCCTTGCATTTGATCTAGCGCCTTATTGCGTCTTCGAGACGTCTCAAAGAGCTTCGCAGAATATACTGTAAAGTGTAGCGACTGTGTATTTTGTGGGCGAAAGGCGGCAGCCAATTGCGCACAGCAGTGTCCCGCAAACAGTCGTGACCAAATGATTATTATTATTTTGTAGTAATAATAAGAAGAATTTATTAATATGTAAACAAATTGTATAATGAGGGTATATTGTACCTCAGAGGGTGATGGTTATTTTAGTAATGGTATCAAGGTATGCACTGCAGATTACACTGCCCTTTGGCACAATATTCTCATTCTATTGCACAACCCACATACGTGCTTGAATGTCTCAGACAATGCCATTCTTTTAGTACTGGAACAAGCTAGCTCCGAGACACTACCTCATGTGAAGGGTGATATATAAATAAAAGTGGTTGTTGTTAAACAAAGCATGTGATGAGACTATCTGGTGAGACGTCATCAAAACACACAGTCACTACACTTTACAGTATATCATGCTGTCATGGTACTCGTATCTCTTTTCTTTACGTGTGAATTACATGCTCCTTTCAGGCGCACTCTGAAATAATAATAACACTTGCATTTGATATAGCGCCTTATCACGTCTTCGAAACATCTCAAAGCGCTTCACAGAATATACTGTAAAGTGAATTGACTGTATATTTTGTGGGGAAAAGGTGGCAGCCAATTGTGCACAGGAGTGTCCCACAAACAGTCGTGGATTGAGTGACCAAATTATTATTTTTTAAGCAATTATTATCCCCAGAAAAGCGATCCGTCAATCGACTAAAAACTGGGTTCCTACTTACTGCTAGGTAAAGTTCTTTTTTTTGTCAAGATACGACCCCAGTCAGAGCGATCTCAAAACTACCCACAACAGTTTCTTTCTCTTAAATTAGTTTTATTTATTCTGGGTACCAGTAAACAATAACTTTCCCGAATGCGGCACAGCAATGCAATTTGATAAAAAATTTAGCAGTTCGGCAATACTTTAAAAATACTTTAAACAGTATTGAGTTGAACCAAACTTTAATAAATCATGGAATCTTATATTTTAGTAACTACTGAATCTACTGAGCCTCTGTGAGCAAAGACCTCTTGGGAAACACAGAAGAGATAACTTTACCAATTCTTACCTCTTTCTGGGAAGGTTTCAGAATCTCAGTTGCGCTAGTAGTGTTAGTCGTGTTAGATCCATCTCCAACCCTTACTCATTTCCTTGAATTTAGCTCAACCCCTCTTCCTTTATACACCAATTTAGTCTTTGTGAAGCTTGCAACCAGAAATGGCGTTCAAAAGTTTATTTTGTCCAAAGGTTATATTCCATCCTTGATCAGAAAATCACACTCCCAAACCGGTTCAATCCATTTTTTTTCCATCATTCCTTCACATACCTTAACATCTCTGGTACCAAGTGTCAAACATTCATCTGGACACTTAAATTTTCCCTTCCTTGACACTTTGGAGTCATAACACCATTTAGCTTACGGTTTCTCAGACCTTGAGGTACCAAATCTATTTTATCCATCAAGCCTCCTGTATTAATAATAATATTCCTTGCATTTGATATAGCGCCTTATCACGTCTTCGAGACGTCTCAAAGCGCTTCACAGAATATACAGTAAAGTGAATTAACTGTATATTTTGTGGGCGAAATGCAGCGGCCAATTGGGCGTGACAGTGTTTTTTTTGCTTGCTTAATACACTGCCACTTGCCCAATCCTAATAAGCTACGTGACTTTCAAACATAACTAACTCCAAGATAAATATCTGTCCCTCAGATGACAATGCTCGGAACCTATCGTTGTGAACCCAAATTCACCTCTGGCTCAGTCGTGGGTTTTTTCAAGTCTTCCTTACAGCTTTTTAAACTTTAATTCCTGTTTTAACCTTTAACCTCTCTTGCTTCACTCTCACTTTACACCACCTCACCATGTGAAACGCTTTGAGAAAAGGTGCTGAGTCACCTGGGTCAGGATGGTTTCTTTTTTAGTTATCAAGTGTGTAAATCTTTAGACAGACATTATAATAATAATAATCCTTGTGCTTGATTAAGCGCCTTATCACATTGTTGAGACGTCTCAAAGCGCTTCACAAGATATACTGTAAAGTGAATTGACTACATTTTGTGGACGAAACGTGGCAGCCAATTGTGCACAGCAGCGTCCCACAAACAGTCGTGGATTGAAGCGACCAATTTAAGGAAAGTTGCCCAAGGCTTCACCCTGCCGGGAATCAAACCCAGGTCTCTCGCTTGAGAGGAGAGTGCTCTAACCACTGAGCTACAGGACTCCACAAATATTCTAAGGAATTCTAAAATATAATCAGATGAGACCCAGATGAACCCAGGTTCGCTTCAGCCAAGTTTCCTTATTCCGCACGCCTGGGGTTTACAGCGCGGTAAGTAGGAACCCGGTTGTTAGTCAATCGGAGAATGGCTTTCTCGGTGTAATAATCCCACCAACAAAACAATGATCGGGTCACTCAAATCCAGACTCTTCGTGGGGCACTGCTGTGCGCAATTGGCTGTCCAGTTTCACCCACAAAATGTAGTCAATTCACTTTACAGTATATCTTGTGAAGCGCTTTGAGACGTCTCAACAATGTGATAAGGCGCTAAATCAAGCACAAGGATTATTATTATTATAATGTCTGTCTAAAGATTTACACACTTGATAACTAAAAAAGAAACCATTCTGACCCAGGTGACTCAGCACTTTTTCTCAAAGCCTTTCACATGGTGAGGTTCACATCAATTCACTTTACAGCATATTCTGTGAAGCGCTTTGAGACGTCTCGAAGACGTAAGAAGGCGCTATATCAAATGCAAGGATTATTATTATTATTATTATCTGAGACAATTCTCCTGTAACATGAGGGAATCTCAGCTCAGATGAGGAAATTTCAGCTCAGATGAGGAAATCTTGGATGAAGAATGGGAAGAGCAGAGGGTGGGAGGGGAAACTCCCTGTATTACAGGAACAGTGATCCAGAGAGAGAGAGAGAGAGAGAGAGGAAGGGAGGAATTTTCTGGTGTCCAGTTCTCCTTGACAGTGACTCAGGGAGGAAGCTGGTGACACAGGCTCTTGTGACTGAAGGCAGAACTTGCTGGTGGCTGAGCTGCTGGGGAACGATGTGCCGTGTCTCTCATCTGTTGGTGTTGGTGTGTGTGTGTCAGTACGTGAGCCAGAGGCGGGGGCTGAGCTTCTCACTGTCTCACTGTCAGGTCCACGGGTCACTGTGGGACAAAACTGACCTGAAGGTCCTGTGTTACAGGATGCAACTGGTCTCAGTCCCGGGATACATCCCCAATAACACCCAGGACCTGGATTTGTCGGAGAATAGGATCGTCTCCCTGCAAGGAGCCAGCTTCCAGCACCTGCAGAGGTTACAGACCTTGAACGTGTCCAAGAATCAGATCCAGGAGGTGAGCCCCGGGGCTTTGAGCAGCTTGAGGAATCTCACTCTTCTCAACCTGGCCTTCAACCGATTCAGCCAGCTCAGCCAGGACACCTTCTCTGGCCTGACTTCCCTCAAGATCCTCCTGCTCCACCACAACTACATCAGCTTCATCCAGCCCACAGCCTTCCTCAGCCTGACCCAACTCCAAGTACTCAACCTGACCTCCAACCGGCTGGGCTCCCTCCGCAGCGCTGCCGCAGCTCTCAACCTCCCCAGCCTGGAGGATCTACACTTGGCAAACAATTCTTTGGCCAATTTTTCTACCCAGGACATCCCAGCCGTGTCCAGGACCCTGAAGATGCTGGATGTCTCCAGGAACCCTCTCTCCCTGGTCAATATCACCAACGGCGTCCTGAGCCACTTGCGTTTTCTGAACCTGTCATTTGCCGGAACCAACCAGACATTCATTCTGCAGGTAGGAGAGGAGATGTTTCTGGATGGTATTGAGGGACTGGCTTTGGGAGGGGTACTTCTACCGCTACCTGGAATATTGGCCTTCCTCAGAAACCTGAAAGCGGTTTCCCTGAAGGAAATCCAGTTAAGTTATCTGGGATTGACTGAGACACACCCCCTCGTCCCCCAGATCTGCCATTTACTGCAAAGTCTCAAAATACTGGACCTGAGAAGGAATGGCTTTGTCACATTAAACGAAAGCTTGTTTGTTGGGTGTGTGTATTTGGAACAGTTGGATTTGTCCCACAATAAACTCATAGCCTTGTCAGTCAGTGGCTTCAGCTGTCTGAAGTTCTTGTTTCTGGCTGGGAATCAACTCACTGAGATCCCAAGCACAAGCTCCATTCTGGACAGTTTGGAAATGCTCGATCTCAGGTTCAATCGCATTGCTCACATCAACTCCAATGCTTTCTCTTCCTTGAATAAACTGAAAAAATTACTGCTCTCGGGAAACAAACTCACAACAGTCACACCCAGGTCCTTTACTGGACTCTCTAGGTTGGTGTGGCTCGACTTGGGGGGAAATAGTTTGCTGGAAATCAAGAATTTCTCAGAAAGTTTAAAGAACCTGGAAATTCTCGATCTTCAGAGTAACAAATTGAACTCCATCACCAAGAACACGTTTATCAACTTGATGAGTCTAGGTGAACTTGTTTTGGGTGACAACCAGATATCCAAACTGCAGGAAGGAAGTTTCCAAGGGCTTTCCAATTTAACAGTCTTGTCGTTAGGATCTAATAGGCTTACAGCTGGGACTTTGAGAGACCATGTCTTCTCAGGACTAGATTCCCTGAAGGTACTTAATCTGTTCAAGAACTTTCTCTCCTACCCATCCTCAGCTAGGCTAGACACACCGCCTTTCCGCTCCCTCAAGTCCTTGCAGTATCTTCATATCAACAGTCAAAATCATAACGGTTTCCAGAATTTTCCTTCAAATTTCCTGGAAGGATTGACCTCTTTAAAGGAAATACATTGTGGCAACATTGTGGTTAGTTTTTTTGACCCTGAAACCTTTCGCCACGTGCCCCAGCTTACTCTTCTAGACTTGAGTAACAACCCCTTATACTCCATCAGTCCTGGACTCTTTCAGTCGCTGCCTGCTTTGCAGGAACTTCATCTGAAGAAAGTGAATGTGCAGAACCTGGACTTCCTGTTGAAAGGAAATTTGACTAAGTTGAAACTACTCAGAGCTGTGTCGAACTCAATCGATATTGTAAACCAATCGCACATCGAAGCAATGCCCTCGCTCACTTACCTGGATCTGAGAGAAAACGCATTGTTCTGCTCGTGTAAGAATTCTTGGTTTCAAAACTGGTCTCTCTTTGACCAAATGACCCAAGTGATATACTTTGATGAGTATACATGTGCTTACCCGCCTAATCTGAAAGGAAACAAACTCATTAATTTTGACTCAAATTCTTGTTCTGCTGATGTAGGATTTGTGCTTTATATTTGCTCGTTTATAGGCATAATAATGACAGTCCTGTGCAGCTTTGTCTATCAGTTTTGGAGATGGCAAATTGTATATACGTATTATCTCTTTCTAGCATTTATCTATGAAAAACACAAGAGATATAACAATCAGACACATTTATACGATGCTTTTGTTTCTTATAACACACACGATGAACAATGGGTGTTGAATGAACTGTTGCCAAATCTGGAGAGGAACAACAAATGGAAATTATGCCTTCACCACCGTGACTTTGAACCTGGGAAACCAATCATTGATAACATTGTGGACAGTATCTACAAGAGCAGGAAGACCATCTGTGTCATCAGCCGCCACTATTTGGAAAGTGAGTGGTGTTCCAAAGAAATCCAGGTGGCAAGCTTTAAGCTGTTTGATGAACACAACGATGTGCTAGTATTGGTTTTCCTGGAGGACTTACCCGCCAATTGTCTCTCTCCGTATCACAGAATGAGGAAGCTTGTGAAGAAGAAGACTTACTTACAATGGCCCCAACATCAGGAGGAAATGGATTTGTTTTGGCACAGACTTGGTGTGGCTTTGAAGACAAGCAACCACAAGGAAGAGGAAAGCCCATTCCTTTCTGGCATTGACCCAGACTCTTGCTAAAGGTATTGGTATCTATCCCCCTCCTCTCTCTCTCTCTCTCTCTCTCCCTCTGTCTGTCCGTCTCTCTCTCTCCTCGCCACCTGCCTGAAATGAATGCAGCTAACACTTTGAGACGATCAAAACCAGTCAGAAGAAACCAGGTCACTTGATTGTGGTCACCCGCACACTCAAAGTCAGCCTTCAATACCTCTCAATCTCACTGATACATTGTGATTGGTATGGCTCCTGTCTACAGAATGCCTCGTCATTGCGTTGGCTAACCAGCAACAATAACTGTTTGCATTCCTATGTTGCCCTTCGTGCAGGGTAGAGTTTCAGAACGTGGCTGAGTGGGAAAGCAATGGAGATGACTGGTATTAAACCTTAGAATATTGAAGCTTAAGGATATTATGAAATGTTGTCGGAAAATCCCTCACCCCCCAAAAAAAAACATTGAAGCGCTTTGAGATGTCTCGAAGACGTGATAAGGCGCTATATCAAATGCAAGGTTTATTATTATTCTTCTTCATGAAGTGCTCGATCCATTATAACCAAAGCATTCATTTTGCCGTCTCACCTGTGTATATTTACAGAATTCCACAGTGCTGCCATGTCATCAGTACTCATGTTAACATGTGGTTCTTTGTATTCACTTTCACATAACCAAGGAATTTCCGCTTGGATTTCCTCTGTTGCGATTTTGTTTCGGAAAACATTCGATTCGGGGAGGTTATTAACGTTTTGAATTTTTCAGGGTTTTTCTGCATCTTATTGTTTTACAGAAATCTTATTTTTCTGTTACATCCCCTTGAAATTTTCTTTAAATGCCCCCACTGTGGGTATTATGTAACGGTTTAGTAATTATTATTACAAGTTCAAATCAGGAAGTGGCTGTGGGTGAAGTCTCGTGCTAAGTATTAAGTGCTGTGCTCATTGGGTTTCACTTCTCCTTTTCTCTCCAGTGGTCATCTGATAAATCCACTGAACTGATTTCATTATTACTTCACATTAGAGGATGCCTGTTTTTTATCTGATTAATAGGAAGCTCCGCAATTTATTTTGCTTCCTTATTTGGCTGCACAAAATTCAACTGAAAGAGTATTCAGCAAAATATGTTTTTTTAACTTCATGATAATCTAGGAACATTGACAGGGCGTTTTGGAAAATAAACTAAGACTAGTTCTCACATACGTATCTTTATGCTAACATACATCACACTCAGACATTTCTGTGACCAAATATAATTCTGATGTGTTCCATGTTGATGCTATTGGGGAGGGTTTAAACTAGTTTTGAGGGGGGAAGGGAATGCAAAAAACGAAGAGCTAGAAAATGGAGAAATAAAACTCCAAGAAGTGCAGAACAGGTCAAGTCAGTCTTGGAGTGCATGTCCCTAAATGCACGGAGTTTAGCAAACAAGATTGGTGAGCTGCAGCTCAAGTAGTCATAGGAGGATACGATGTAGTAGCAGTAACAGAGACTTGGCTCAAACAAGGACAGGAATGGGAGTTGAATATTCCTGGCTATAATGTATTCAGGAGGGATAGGGAAGGAAAAAAGGAGGAGGTGTGCCAATTTTAATCAAGGATGCGGTTATAGCCGTGGAAAGGGTGGAAGTGCTGGAGGGCCCCGAAACGGAACCTATCTGGTTAGAGTTAAGGAACAAAAAAGGAGCTGTTACGCTGGTAGGGGTATACTATAGACCACCAAATAGTGGGAAGGAAATAGATGAGTAGATCTGCAAGCAGATCTCAGACAGATGCAAGGCCAATAGAGTCGTGATAATTATCCCAACATAGACTGGCAAAACAACAGCGCAAAGGGCAAGGAGGGGGAAAGATTCCTAAAATTCATACAGAACAAGTTTCTTGATCAGTATGTTTCCAGTCCAACGAGGAAGGAAGCAATGCTGGATCTAGTTCTGGGGAAAGAAGTAGGGCAAGTGGAACAGGTTTCAGTGGGAGAGCATCTGGGCAATAGTGATCACAACATCATTAGATTCAGAGTGCATATGGAAAGAGACAAGGAACCATCTAAGGTGAAGATACTCAACTGGAAGAGGGCAAATTTCAGTGAGTTAAGAAGGGACCTAGCCAAGGTGGACTGGAAAGAAAGATTGGCAGGTAAAACAACTAAAGAGCAGTGGGAAGTCTTCAAGGATGAGATGGCTCGGAGACATAATAAATACATTCCAACAAAAGGGAAAAGTAGGGCATCCAAACCTCCCTGGATGACAAAGGTAATTGTGTCTAGAATGAATCAGAAAAAGGAGGCGTATGACAAGTGTCAAACCCAAGATACAGAAGACAACCAAATAGATTATAGGAAGTGCAGAAGAGGTTTGAAAAAGAAAATAAGAGGGGCAAAAAGATTATACGAGAAAAGGCTAGCGGGTAACATTAAAGGGAATTCTAAAATATTTTACAAACATATCAAGAAAAAAAGGTTAGTCAAAGGTAGGGTGGGGCCAATTAAGGACCAAGGCGGAAATCTTATTGTGGAGGCAGAGATCACAGATTTAAAATAGTTTATAAAAGAAGCAGAGGGGAGGTGAGAAGAAATTTTTTCATGCAGCAAGTTGTTCGAATCTGGAACGCATTGCCTGAAAGGGTGATCGAGGCCGATTCGATAACAACTTTTAAAAACGCGGTGGACGGGTATTTGAGGAGGACGGGTTTGCAGGGTTATAGGGAAAGGGCCGGGGAGTGGGATTGACATTACATTGCTCTTCTCAAAGAGCCGGCACAGACTCAATGGGCCGATTGGCCTCTTTTTGTGCTGTACGATTCTATGATTCTATGTTGCTTTTAATGTTTAATTTCTCTTTTCTGATTCCAGTATTGGAAATGAGGATCCATACAAAGCTTGTAATGTACTCTTGAATCATTTGAGTCTTGTTGTCTGTGGACATTGAAACATTGGATATTGAATTGGAGAATAGCTTAGAAGTGCTCCTATTCTTGGCCTGTGAATTATTTCCGTGAAAATGATTTTGCTTATTATTATTATGTTCATTAAATTTGTGTTGGCAGCTAAGTGTGTGCATTGTCCCAGAGGACAAGAGGATATTTAGGATCTGTGAGCTTCAGTCAGTCGAATTCCCACTGCTCGTGATGGTGCTCAGTTAATTTTTGCTGTTTCAAATTCAGAACTGGGTTTCAAGCTGCCTCTGTGGGCCATTTATATTATTATGTGAGAAACGCTAAATTAAATGCAAATTGTCATTCCACTCAATCAGTACTCTGTTTTTAACAGTGGGCTTCAAATCATATGTACTTGCAGCACTTGACTGGCAGAATTGTTGTGCTATCAGCATCCCAGCTCTCTGTCGCCTTCATGTCTCAATAAATGTGGTCTCCGGCAAGAAAGTGTGTTGTTCTCGCTGTCTTTTGGTGTGATGAGTCTTCTCATTTGTGATTTGGCCAATAGTGAATGGAATACCTGAGGGTATAGGAACATATATAGGCACATAGGAACAGAAGTAGGCCATTCAGCCCCTCAAGCCTGTTCCGCCATTCTATTAGATCATGGCTGATCAGTAACTCAACTCCAATTTATAATTGTAGAGTATTTGATATATTTCATATCATGTATATAGCAGAGTGGGAGGAAGGAAGAGAGTTAGTGGAGGTTGGGATATAAGAGAAAATCCTCTCTTCCCGGGAAGTGACTTTTCATCGCTGAGAAACAAGGAAGATAGCTTGGTACTGGTGTTGGCCGCTGGAGCTTTGCTTTGACGTGTCTCAAGAACACACCTGAAGTCACCCGTGAGTACCATAAATTGGTTGACATGAGAGAGAGAGAGAGAGAGAGAAAGAGCACTGGCAAAAGGTAGTTCAGACTTTATTTGCTTCTTAGTTAAATGAAAACCGTTAGATGCTTCCAGTAACACACCTGCAGAGAAAATCATTGTGCTGCTGTGTTGCAGGGAACCATCCTGTGAACTGTTATATCACACGCCACAAAGTCATGGTATTAGTGTTTACTGTGAAGGCAGTGCCATTTACGCGTCACCCCTTCCTATATGTGGCTTGTGGCTGTTGAAGGAATGACCTACGTTTCCTTTTTGTAACATTGTTCTCACCGCTCATAAAGTGCGGCTGAGAAATATCAAAGGGAACAGGTTTAACAGAAGCAGGGGCTTTGCATTAATGTGATCTGATGAAGATCTTTGCTCTCGCTATCATCTTTTATGTAGTGTGAAGGCTGCCAGATTGATGTGTTTGCTGTTCCCTTTGATATTCACAAACTGGCTTCTTTTTCCGCAGTGTTGTCGCAATTCCATTTTGAAAATGAGAATTTCTGTGCCGCTATTAGAGAAAGGCCTTACGTTTCTTTCCAAATTCAGTTCCCCTGCATTATTTATACTCATGTTATCTATTGAATGATTCTGTGCTTACATTCTGATTTCCTTCGTGAGACGCTGACACTAATGAACGTTTACAGACACTTTTTCCTTCACAAATCTGAAATGTCCCATAAATATTAAACAGTCACTTATCTCACGGCTTTTGGCATGATATCTGCCTTGCTGGGACCTGCTTGTATATGCAATGCCACTTGACAGACACAAACCTGCTTGCTAAACCATGCTCATATTACATCTTCTAGTGCTCTATACAGACTTGTTGTGGTTGCATTACAAAATTTAATATAAACAAAGTGTCTCGCTCCTCCCTACCTCTGCGGACTACTAAAATGTTATCAACCTGCCTGCTCCCTCGGCGTAGCGGTCACTGGCCTCTGCATTGTCTGTAATTTTTTTTCTAGATTTTTACAGTGTGGCCCCTGGGAGAGAAAACAAATAGAATTGAAACAGAGAATGGGTGTGTGTGTGTAAAAAAAACTCTCTAAAGTGAACACGAATCTGAAAATAAAAAAAGAAGTGATAATGTCTGTAATAGGAAGAAGTTGGCGATGCCAAGTTAGCCTTTCGACACAACGTACTGTATTTATTTAAATATTTACTGTATTTAGTTCGGCAGAATTTAAGCCCCACGGTTTTCAACAACAACAACTTGCATTTATATAGCGCCCTTCATGGTGGGTAGAGTCTCCGAGTGCATTTTACAACAACAACAGATTACACTTGTGTGGCGCCTTTCATGTCAGGAGGATTTTAATCACTAGAACTAAGCTACTCTCTGCTGTGTTTATTGTGCACATAGTTCAGACCCTCAGACAGTAACGACGAGCTGAGCTGAGCTGAGGTTTGAAGGCGAGTTGGGCACCTTGTTTGGGCAGATTGTCAGCAGGAACAGCTTTGGCTCTCTCTTCTGGCTGGAAAAGGAATCACGTTGTCGCCGCCGGAGCTCTGTGTCAGGCCAGTCCGAGGAGCCCTTACCCAAAGAAGAACACAGGGGGCAGCAGAAATACGGGAAAACATATTCGGGCACAGAGGATATATGGTATGTGTCTATAGTGAAGCCAAAGGGCCACATGATGGCAGTGTTGTCTAAATAAATCCACTTAATGAAGCCAAGATTAACATAGAAGCATAGATATCTCCAAGGAGGCCATTCATCCCATCAAGTTCTCACTGACTCAAGAGCAAGGAGATCAATTCAGTCCCACCGAACCACCTTTTCACCCACCTCCCCCTCAAACCCCCTCTTTCATATGCCTGTCTATTTTCTGTAGGTGAAAACTGCAGAATGATCTGTTGAGATGTTTAAAGGAGATGGATATCAATGGTCCTGAGGGATGTGGAGAAACGATGAGAATTGCAAAGATAAAGAGAGTTGGTGTGAATTGATAGAATGGCAGATTGGACTCCAACCAAGTGGCCTCCTCGTGTTCCCACGAGTCAGCACCGTCAGGAGATGAGGGAGGAAAACTGTAAACCACTGGTTTCTTATTGTCAAACAGTGTGTGAACGAGCATTCAGATTCTCACGACACCAATATTAGGCTTTCCGAAATAATATCATTTAGTTTCCAAAAAGTGATTATTTTGCTGGATTTTTATACAATATCATATAGTTCCTCATCGCTATATATTTTGTAGGTGAAACGCGGCAGCCAATTGCGCACAGCAATGTAGTCTAGCTGTCTCCTGTTTACAGTGAAATCTTTGTTACTCTGGAGATTGGATCAGATCTCAGATGATTAACTGTCTGACTGTGAAAAAACATAAGAACATGAGAAATGCTAGACGAAAAAAGACCAAGATCTATCTAGTTCGCCTTTCAACTTCCTGGCGGTCGCATGCACATTTATCCGGAACTATCTATATACTATATCCCATAATGCTATTTCCTAAAAGAAAATAAAGATTAATTCTCACAGCAGAACCTCAAAACAACAAATTACATTACTCGCCAGACACCAAATATTTCTCAGTTGTACTAAAGAGGATGTCGAAACCTCTTAAGATAAAATTGTGCTCCATATACAGTAGGCTGAAACCAGACTGTGCATCTTGTTTACTCAGGAAATCCAACTCCCACGCTGACAAAAACAACCTATGACCTTGTCACATAATCAGTCCTGAGAGACATTGATTGCTTCATGAGCTCTGTATCCTCCATACAGTCATGCCAAACAGGGAGAGGGAGCCGGGATAAAATAAGCAGGCTGCAGTCATTACCCAACCCGTTCAAGAATGAACGTTGCTTCACCTACGTATGTTATGTTAATTCAACAAAACATCAAGCTGAACACAGTCACTCCTCTAGCCCCCGTCATCACGCACTCAGCAGTGACTCATCAACTCTCCCTATACAAATTAGTTTTTTTTAAAAAGAATTCATCACGACATTTTGAAACCATTGGGTTTTTTTGAAAGTCAGGCAGGTTTCATTGTTTAAAAATCGCATTCTTCTGTCATTCACAATAACAAATCAACAACAGCTTGCATTTATATAGAGCGGGCCCTTTCACACAGGATCGCGCCTCGAAGTACAACCACTTTAAAAACAGGTTGAAGGGCCTCCATCATATTCAATACAGTTAGAGCCAAGGAAGGGTTAGCAAAGAACTGATTCATTTTTAAACAATTATGGTCATATTTCCATCGTTACTGAGTCAGTCTTGACCAACAATATTCTCCTAAAGGATGCTTGACTCCTTTGTCATGGTAGTTTTCATTGTACAGCACATGGTACAATGGTGATTGGTGATCTCCAGCCCAATGTCAATTCGGCTCAACAACAAATTGTAACGACAACAAATTACATTTGTATTTTCGTCAGGAGGACGTCCCAAGGTTCAGTCAATCTTGATTATTGGTGAGGAGATTGTGGGTCCATAAGCTGTGTTAAGACTTCAGCTCCCACTCCAGTCAAGGCTGCCGCTCAAGGGCTCTTCTTAAAAGTTCAATGTTCCCATTAAAATAAGTTTCTTTTTGAAGCCTTCATAATTTAATTGGAAGCAACCAAAATAAATCACGCCTACACACATCATTTTTTTTAATGCTGATTAAATTTTCACACAGCTCTTCTAACAACAACAGCAAGTCCCCCCCACCCCCAACACACACACAACATAAAACGTTTGCTTTTGGCACTGAGCACAAATTGCCTTTTGGATTTCTAATCCCAATGTTTGAGCTGAAGTCTAGTTAGGGGGTGCCAGGGAGCGCCTGAGTTCCACAGATCCCACTGTGTGGAGACACCCAGGTTCATGTGATATGACAATGAACCAAGTGTCCACGGGCAGGAGGTGTGGCATAACATTAATAATCCTTGCATTTGATATAGCACCTTATCACGTCTTCTAGACGTCTCAAAGCGCTGGAAATGCTGGCAATTGGAGGTGTTTGGGTAGGGAGCCAGAAAGGGAGGGGAGACTTTTGCCTTGGACAAGTCCCAGAATGCCCCGTGGGGCTGGGTAACATATTGTGTAGTGAGTATGAGACATTGGTTATTTTCCAGTCGGTGGGTGTCTAACCCATCACCATGCTTAGGAGAATCCACCCCAGGCTGACACGTCCCACCTACACATGGAAATTTCAGAGATGTTCATTGGAATGGAACGCACATATTCTCCCTGGAGGGACGGACCCTGCTTACCTAAGTCCGGAAAGTATTAGGTGCAGGTTGGCGAGAGCCATGGCTTGGGGACCCCAGAGTGTGCGTTGTGCATTGACCAATTAAAACAGCAGAGCTTGCTATTGAGATCACTGGCAATGCCTGGCAAGCTTTCTTTGATGCTTGGACCAGCTCACCCGCTAGGACATTGGTGGGTTGGCGGGAGCCGGGTGGTAAGAGTCCCTGGCACTCGGAGTCCTCCGACAAGCCAGACCAGGCTGGGACAGCGCTTTGTGGACAGTCTCCTGTGGACCTGCCTGGTGGCGGTGGGGGTGGGGGTGGGGGGGGGGGGGGGGGGCGCAGGACGGTGACGTGAATCCCAATGTGGCTTGGCGTGACGCATAAGATAGGCAACAGCAACAAGGCACCTTCGAGGCAGAACATCTCATTATCGAGGAGAGCATGTTCCCCACTTGCTGCTGCCCAGAAGGAGGAGGTCAGGAGGTTGATATTGGGGGAGAAGAGAGGAGAGAGGGGGAAGAAACTACAAATCCCAGAATGCCTCGGGGTGGTGGTGGTGGTGGTGGTGAGAGGCGGATCACGTGCGTTACCATGGCAATGAGCGCCAGAGGCGAGCCCTGACAAGGGAGGAGCGACTACGATTCCCAGAATGCCGCGCGGAGCGGGGGTGGTGGTGGTGGTGGGGGGGGGCGAGAGACTCGGCGAGGGGCGGGTCACGTGCGTCACCATGGCAATCAGCGCGAAAACCGGGCGGGCGGTGACGTGCGCGCCCATCCACCCACAATCCCCTGCGAAGAAGAAAGAGAGAGCGGAGAGAGTCGGAGAGAAGATCGCGGCCGGAGCGGCTTCAAGATGGAGCGTTAGCGGCGCGGCTCTGCCTTGCAAACGCGGCGAGAGAGAGAGAGAGAGAGAGAGAGCGCGAGAGAGAAGGAGACGGAAAGGAGCCACAGCCACAGCTGGGCCTGAGCCTCGGCTTGCTCGTGAGAGCGCGACCCGACCCGACGCGACTTGAGGCGAGGCGAGGCGAGCCGAGCGGCGGGAGAGGATGGCCAGCGCCAGCGGCTCCAAGGCCGAGTTCATCGTCGGCGGCAAATACAAGCTGGTCCGCAAGATCGGCAGCGGCTCGTTCGGCGACATCTACCTGGCCATCAACATCACCAACGGGGAGGTGAGAGAGCGAGAGGGAGAGAGGGAGGTCCCAGCCTCAGCCCCCGCTTCGCCGCCGACTCATTCCCCCCCCCACCCCCCACCCGCCTCCCCTCCTTCTGCTCTGCTCTCGGTTCCGGCTGTGACCCATCACTGATCGACACCTCTTCCTCTCTCTCTTTCTCTCTCTCTCTCTCTTCCCCGACCTCAATTTCTTCCCCATCTCCTCAATCTCCCTCTCTTCTTTCTCTCCTGTCTTTTCTCTCTCCCCCCCCCCCTTCTCTCTCCCCCCCCCCCCCTTCTCTCCCCCCCCCCTTCTCTCCCCCCACCTCCCTTTTTTTTCTCTCCTCCTCTGTCCGCCTCTCCTCTCCTCTCTCGTCTCTCTTCCGCCTGTCTTTTCCTCACTCTCTCCTGTTCCTGTTCTGTCTTTTTTCCTCTCTTCCTTTCTCTTCACGTCCTCTCCGGTCATTACCTCCTCCCCCCCCCCCACCCCTCCTGTCACCCCCACCCTTTCCTGTTATCACCCCCCCACCCACTCTCTCCTGTCATTCTCCCCCCCCCCCCCCAACCCTCTTTTGTCATCCCCCACCCCGCACTGCCGTCTCCTGTCACCCCCCCCCCCCACACCCACCACCCACTCCGGTCATCCCCCCCCCACACCCACCACCCCATCCTGTCATTACCCCCCGCCCCCCCCACCACCCCTCCTGTCACCCCCCCACCCCCTCCTGTCATTCCCCCCCACTCCCTCCTGTCATTCCCCCCACCCCTCCTGTGATTCCCCCCCCTCCTGTCATTCCCCCCCCACCCCTCCTGTGATTCCCCCCCACCCCCTCCTGTCATTCCCCCACCCCTCCTGTAATTCCCCCCACCCCCTCCTGTAATTCCCCCCACCCCTCCTGTCATCCCCCTCCCCCCCCCTCCTGTCACTCCCCCCCCTCCTGTCACCCCCCCCTCCTGTCACCCCCCCTCCTGTCACCCGCCCTCCTGTCATTCCCCCTCCTGTCATTCCCCCCACCTTTCTTGTTTCTCCCCCCCCCCCACCCCTCTCCTGTTTCTCCCCCACCCTCTCCTGTTTCTCCCCACCCCCACCCTCTCCTGTTTCTCCCCCCTCTCCTGTTTCTCCCCCACCCCACCCTCTCCTGTTTCTCCCCCACCCCCACCCTCTCCTGTTTCTCCCCCCCTCCACCCTCTCCTGTTTCCCCCCCCCCCGCCACCCTCTCCTGTTTCCCCCCCCCGCCACCCTCTCCTGTTTCCCCCCCCCCGCCACCCTCTCCTGTTCTCCCCCCCCCGCACCCTCTCCTGTTTCTCCCCCCCCGCCACCCTCTCCTGTTTCTCCCCCCCCCCCACCCTCTCCTGTTTCTCCCCCCCCCACCCTCTCCTGTTTCTCTCCCCCCCACCCTCTCCTGTTTCTCCCCCCCCCCACCCTCTCCTGTTTCTCCCCCCCCACCCTCTCCTGTTTCTCCCCCCCCCACCCTCTCCTGTTTCTCCCCCCCCCCACCCTCTCCTGTTTCTCCCCCCCCCCACCCTCTCCTGTTTCTCCCCCCCCCACCCTCTCCTGTTTCTCCCCCCCCCCACCCTCTCCGTTTCTCCCCCCCCCCACCCTCTCCCGTTTCTCTCCCCCCCCCCCACCCTCTCCTGTTTCTCCCCCCCCACCCTCTCCTGTTTCTCCCCCCCCACCCTCTCCTGTTTCTCCCCCCCCCACCCTCTCCTGTCTTTCTTCCTCTCCCCCTTCGCCTGATTTTCTCTCCCACCCCCCCTCCCCATTTTTCCACGTTCTCTCTTGTCTTTCTCCCCCCTCCTTCTTTCTTTCCCCTTCCTCTTCTTTCTCCCCCCCCCTTCCTCTTCTTTCTCCCCCCCTTCCTCTTCATTCTCCCCCCTTCCTCTTTTTCCCCACCCCCGTCTCTTCACCGCCCCCCCCCCCCTCTATTTTTTCCCTGTATTCTCCCTCCCTCACCTGTCTCCCCCCCCACTTTGTACTCTCTCCCCAGGAGGTAGCGGTGAAATTGGAATCGCAGAAAGCCCGACACCCACAGCTCCTGTACGAGAGCAAACTCTACAAGATCCTTCAGGGAGGAGTCGGCATCCCTCACATCCGGTAGGTAACGCTGTGGACAAACTTTTTATATAAATTGCCCTTTTATTATTATTATTATTATTATTATTCTGGATTGACTCGCGTGCGGTGTGTAACAATGGCCATTTTGTACGCCTGTGTGTGTGTGTGTGTGTGAGAGAGAGTGTGTGCTGTGTTTGTGCCTTTCTCTGCCCCTCTCCCTCTCTCTCAGCCGAAGTGAAAAAGCGTGTGACGCAAAACACTCTCTCTGTGGCCTCAAATCTTCCCACTCACTCTCTGCGTGTGTTGGTGTGACAGTGATAATTATGCCACTGGAATAAAATTCCACCCGCAGCGATGGCGAGAAATAAATCCCCCCCCCGATCACCGGAGGCCAGGAGTTGTCGGCAGCTGTTGGGCTCCTGATCCACTTTTTTTCTCTCCTGATTAAATATTCACCGGAAAGGTTCGGAGTTAACGCCGCCCCAGCAATTGATTTGGCTTTTCGCCCCTCGACCTTCAGGGTTTTATTTCTAACCTAAATCAGTGCGGCTGTGGTGCAGTGCCGCCGGTGTGGAGGTGGTGGGGCCCGGGTGGCAGTCAGGCCCGCGGTATGGATGGCTGCGTGGAATGGCTGCTCTTTTGTTGTGTTTTGTACGGACATGTCATAAAATGGCGGATCGACGTGACTGGGAGTGAGTTTGTTGGTTTGGTGCAGTGAGTTTCACCGAAACACTGCTTCCCATGTCCAGCTTCAGGGATATATCCCACTCTCCACACGCGTTCATGTGACTAAACTCGTTTCACGATGTGAAAACCAGTTTTTTGTTGTTGTTGTTGCCTCGTGACAAATCGTTTCGTGGTCCAGCTGTTTGCAACTTTTCTCGTTTGTACAGCATCTACTTGGATATAGTGTATTGCGGGCCTTGCATAAACAAGCCAGTGCGTTTTGGTTGCTTAGTATTATTAGTGTTGCTGAGGGCACCATTTGGCTGGGAGTGAGATTGGAAAGGCTCATCAGATTTGGGAGTTATGATAAGTCGTTAAGAATTGAGATCTCTTGATGTAATGGCTGATTGTGGACCTCTTTCAGTTGTATAGAATTTGGTTTGCTGATAGGTGCCTCAGACATACTGGTATCGTAATCTCCCTTAAAGGTAGGCTGTACATTACTCACCTAAGTTGGCAAATGTCCCCCAACAGCAGATGTATTTTGTATGTGATAAACATTCTTGTAGCTAGGAAGTGAGGCTGAGCAGTTTTATACCCTCTTGATCTGGAAGAACATCTAGTTTTGCAGTAATATTTGGCCAAGTAGTAGCTCCTTATGAATAAAGATTCCATCCCTTTGTTTCCTATCTCCTAATTCTTGTAGATCATAAAGTTGACTTTAGAAGGTGCATGTTATTGATGACATACCATAATTGATTCTCTTCTTTCTCCCTTTAAGACCAGGGAAGCTATATAACTGTTGTCTCAATTATTCCCATAGAGTATTATCAATCTTCTCATAAGAAGTCTCAGTTAAAAATGTAAGTTGTCCCTCTATCTCCTCAGAAGTTGGAAAGCATACATGGTTGTTAGGCTGGAAATAATTTCAGCCTCTGTAATACAGCCCAGTGTTCTTCACTTTCTCTCCATTGAGAAACCTCTTAAAGTGACTGTCCAGAGGTAATACTTTCTGTTCAATTGTACATTTATGAGAGCATAGTTTCTTTGTAACAACCAATCTTCTCCTCCTTGGCACCTTCTGCCCTTGGCTACTCTGTTGTAGTGAGTGGCTGGGTGGATCTTGAAGTGCTTCCAGTCAGTTAGGCAGTAGTGGGTAGGTACATCCAGATCAGCTCACTGGGCAATTGCAGCACTGTCTATCTTCTGATGACTCACTAAAATTGTAAAGGCTGGGTAACTGCTTGTTTCCCAGGGTGGGGAATTGAATGAACGTATGTTGCCAGGGGGCATACCTTGGTGCCAAAGATGACTCCATAGAAGAGATACATAGTTTTATAAATGTTTTGCATCTCTAATTCCAGGAAAGCGCTTTGATGAAAAAGTGCTTTCTCTAGATAAGACCATCTAGATTTCTTCAAGTTTTGTCAGTGCAATTTAGCTCAAAGTTCCTGCAATGTTTTTACACTTAAATATTTATTGAGCCTATGGAGAGTACATTACACATATAGAGAAGGAAGTCCAATGGAATGGACCCACATTGTTTGCAGAGAACCCTCCTTGTGATAAGTTTTAGAAGTATAAAGGTCTGTGGTTGGTTAAAGAAATGTGCCTTTCCCACTTGCCACTTGCAGCCCTAGTGCTTGTTGATAATCAGGTTATTGGAGTAACATGGCACTGCATTCAGTGTAGATCCTGTGATGTACCCAGGATCTAGTTTATTTCCAGAAATTGGTCTGTGGTTGAAGACATTTTGAAGTAATATTGATGGATTGCATGCACTTTTAGTTGTAGCTTATTTTATCCATCACTTCCTGTAGGAAAGAGTCTGCCATCTGCCTAAGGGGCATCCTTGACCAGGAGATTGCTCTGTTATAGGTACAAATATATGCTCTGCAAGTGTTGCTGCTAATTCAACAAATCCAGTGCTGCGCTTAACGAAGCATAAAAATGAGGAGGAAGGTTACTATCTAACATGTTGAGAGTGGGTGGAATTTATTTACCACTGCACATTTACTGACCTTGAAACCAGGAGGTAGCTTGACCTAGGTTGCGTCAGTGCAACTGTGAGGTTATGTAAAATTACACATTATATTTCTTAAATGAGTCTTTGAAAATGTTTGGACTCATCAATTTGTACACTCCACCTCACTGAGTCAGTCCAGAACCTTTGCATCTTGTTTGATCCTCACCTATCCTTTTTGCCCCACATTCATGCCATGACCTGCTCTGCCTTCCCCCACCTCTGCAATATCACCCGGCTCCGCCACTGTCTTCACACTGTAGGCCGCCGAGACCCTCTTACACACATTCATAACATCCAGGTTTGACAATTGCAAACTCCTTGCTTGTCAGCCTCCCCAATTCCTCTCTCTCTAGGTTTATTTTATCCATCGCTTCCTGTAGGAAAGAGTCTGCCATCTGCCTAAGGGGCATCCTTGACCAGGAGATTGCTGTGTTGTTATAGATACAAATATATGCTCTGCAAGTGTTGCTGCTAATTCAACAAATCTAATGCTGTGCTTAACGAAGCATAAAACATCAGTGGAAAATGAGGAGGAAGGTTACTATCTAATATGTTGAGAATGGGTGGAATTTTTTTACCACTGCACATTTACTGACCACTGTCTTCACACTGTAGGCCGCCGAGACCCTCTCACACGCATTCATAACATCCAGGTTTGACAATTGCAAACTCCTTGCTTGTCGGCCTCCCCAATTCCTCTCTCCATCGGCTGCAGATCATCCAGAACTCTGAAGCCCCTGTCCTCTCCCGCACCAGGTTCTGTGATCCTATCACCTCCATCCTCACCCAACTCCACTGGCTTCCCATCACACAGGGTACAGTTCAAGATCCTGATCCTCACCTTCAAAGCCCTCCATGACTTGCTCCGCCTTACCTTACCCAACCCACTACCAACCTGCTTGCTCCCTCCGCTCACAGCCTGCTTCACGTCCCCTGCTTCGCCATGCCACCATTGGTGGGCGGGCCTTCAGCCACTCTGCCCCATCCTCTGGAACTCCTTCCTGCAGTCCCTCCACCCCGCCAACTCCCTTGCCTGTTTCAAGACTTGTCTCAAGACCCTCCTCTTCGAACATGCCTTTGATCTCCCCCCCCACCCTCCCCCATCCTCTCCGATCCCCAGCTCGGATCCGAAACTCTGATTGTCCAGCGCCTTGGAACGTTCTCCTTATGTGAAAGGCGATATACAATATTTTATTTTTTTATATACATTTGAACAAATCTTTTGACAGGAATTTATGGATCTGATAATATCCTTCCACCAACATTTTTCAATGTTGTTTAGTTAGATGTCAATTGAGATCTTTGAGAATAGCAGGCTTGGTGTGCTGAAGGGTGTATTTGAATATGCTGAATATCAGCTTTGGAACCTGTTTGGTGGCAACACCTATTGCCAGAAATTAAATCGTGAATCAAAGGGGTACAATTCACTATTTCATTAACCATACTTGGTATTTCTTTGTTCTCAATTCCTGGATAATCAGGAGTGCTGAGACTTGCATGAACTCCCATATTGTTTTCCATTACCTGTATCAACCAGTTTTGAATAATCTGCCATTAATTCTATGGAGTTTATTCCATTATATCGAAGTTCCATGTTACTAATAGTTGATAACCTTTACTCAATATAGTGGCACTAGAATAATTTATTTGTTCCTAGGCAATTAAGGATAGATGCACTGAGTAATTCCGAAACTAAAATGGTGGTTAAGATTATAGTACATCAACAACTTGGTATTTTGGGTCGAGTAAGCCATGCGTTCCATTTCAACAGACCCATTATTTGGGAAATGGGGATTGTAATATGTTGGTCATTTTACTCACCTTTTTGGGGGTTTAGAGATTTGGGTTTGAAAGTATGAAGAAAGGGAAATGAGCATGCATGATGTTGTTTGCTGCACCAAAGCTACATTTTGGTTTTTTCTTGCTGTCGAGTCTTTCAGTTCTGTGAAACACTGAATTGTTTTTCTCCCACTATTTTCTAACTGCAATCGAATTGAAGTCCTTGAATTGCCCATTTCTTTGAACAGCCTTTGGGAACTCAGATCATTTTGCTTTGAAGTAGCTCTTTATTTTTCGATATAAATGGTGTCAGACTGGTATGCATCAAAAAGGAGGGTGAAATGTGTATTCATTATTGGTTAAGGGCACAGGGTGTTTAGATTGTGTTTTTCCCTTGGCAAACTCAACGGGATCCACTGTGAACTCCTTTGGTACTGTCCAAATTGATTTCACAAAGGATATTTTTAATCCAACAGAACTGACTTTCATCCCAGTAGTTTAGGCTGACCCAAATCCTAGAGATTAAAGAACAGTGCTAATTTACATCAGCTTGTCCTAACATTGTCGCTGTTCCCTGTTCATTTTACTACTGAGATTATGTGATTGTTCTTGACTTCATGCTCAAAGTGAGTTTTTATTTTTTTCAGAATAATGCAAAACTTTAAATCTTATCTTTACTACATGGGGATCCGACTTTTTGTAAATTGATTTTGGCCTACCTGCTCAGGTGTAATTTGAATTATAATATTTACAATTGATAGTTACTCTGACCTCCGTAATGTACATAGCTATACACGACTAGATGACATTTTCGCATGGGACAATAAAATTGGACCAGTCTGTTGTAGGTTCCAAAAGTAATCTTTTGTTTAAAAAAAATCTTGTTGCAATCTTTAGCAAAGAAACTTGTTTTAACTTGTGCAGGCAGACTCGGGATTTCTTGTTGACTCATTTTTGAAGCATGCATATTGCTTTAATTTCTTGGTAAAGTTTCTGTCAATGTTAATACCCTTTAAAGAACAAATGTGGATAGTATACTCTGGTTTTCATTCTAACTAAATTTGTAAGCGGAGAACAAAAATTAACATTAGCTCTTTGTTTCGACACCTAATATAAACTTTAATAACTTGTGTTAATCTAGATTGTATAGCTATTTGTTTTGTGACAGGGCCCAAAAATCCATAAGATTAATTTATTGTTCTTTTGCAGGTGGTATGGACAAGAGAAGGATTACAATGTCCTAGTTATGGACTTGCTTGGACCAAGCCTTGAAGATTTGTTCAACTTCTGTTCTCGCAGGTTCACAATGAAGACTGTTCTGATGTTAGCTGACCAGGTAAGTAATCATATATCCTAATTATGCGCTCAATTCACTTATCTGAGTTTTACCAGGCTTTGAATTTCTGGATTTGGTGAACAAGACTTATTTCTAGATGATTGAATACATCTAGAAGAGCGAGATGAAACTTCAATAATCTTGGTAAACATTGAGGAGCAGCTATACTAGGTCTTGCTACTGTACACTGACGTCTGTGGGTGTGTTTATTTTGACCAACAGCTGGATTTGTTTTGTTTGTAACGGACAGTGTGATTGATTCAAATCCTGGGAAGAAACAGAGAAACAAAGCAGTGACTCAGAAGGGAGTCATAAGTTCCCTGAGTATGACAACAACTTACATTTATATAGTGCAGGGTAGCGTCCCAGAGCTCTTGATGGTGGCGGAGCATGAAGACTGTATTAGGTAGAGTACAGTAGATGCCCCAGGATTGGATTACTTTAGCAATGTCGATTGGGGTTGGATCTCTTTGAATAGCAACAGTTGGCACTGCAAAGGGTTCTCAAATCCCAGTGAGATTTTTTTTTGAGTTTGTGTTTAGAGATCTGATGCAGGGTTTGGGGAGAGAAGAGATAGTTTGGGAGAGCATTGTGTGAATGCTATTGTAACAGTATAACCTTGCTGGAGGAAATTCTTGATTAGCGTTCCACATTTTATTTTGTGATTGATTGCCTGATATCTGTACTGTTATTACATATCTAAAAAGTTAAAATGAATATCTGGCTGTCAACAATGCTCGGTTGTCTTGATAATTGACACTTTTTTCCAGTGTCAGTGGTGAGCTTTGGGGACACCATTTATAAATGTGCTTGTCTGCGTGAGTATTTGGTTGTGTGTGTGTGGAGCAGAGATGTGATTTGTGCGTGTTTTGCCCAAAATGTACAGTCAATTCACTTTACACTTTATTCTGTAAAGTGCTTTGAGACTTCTCACAGACACGATAAGGCGTTATATCAAATGCAAGGATTATATCTATGTAGCCTAATGTGAGCAGACACTGGCTTTGTGGATCACCAAAGTTGAGACATTTTCTGAAACACAAACAGAGAGAGCTAGGAAAAGTCAACAGGTCAAGGCAGCATCTATGAAGTAAGGAAAGTGAGTCAACGTTTTGGGTCCACGACCCTTCGTTAAAACGGTTGTGGGCCCGAAACGTTAACTCACTTTCCTTTCTTCATAGATGCTGCCTTGACCTGTTGACTTTTCCCGTTCTCTCTGTTTTTGTTTCAGATTTTCAACATCTGCAGTATTTTGTGTTTTGAGACATTTTCTCTTTTGTTGACTGAACTTCATCTCCAGTGCAACAAGGGAGCTCGGCAGCATTAACTTGGATTTATATTGGGAGGACATCTCAAACTGCTTTACACAGCTGACTGGGTACCTGAGTTGGAGGAAGGTGACCAAAATTATGTAGAAGTGCAATATTGTAATCCTTTTTTCCGCACTTATTGATTTTCATAGCCATTTAATTCACCTTCCTCTTGCCTGCAGTTTTGAGCGGTTTTCTATGGTTGGTGCCCAGGCACTGATTGTCTCAAAGGGCCAGCCTGTCTGATGTTTTTACGTTTAGTACCGAGAGTAGGTTTATGAAATGAGTAAGTGGCCCTGGATGAGCTAAACATTGAATTTTGCCATTAAGTTTGTGATGCATAGTGATCAGATTTGCATTGGCTTTTTAGCAATATTGACGAAACTGGGTTGTTTTGTCTTGAGCAGCTAATGACACTAGATCTGTTTCAGATTTGTTTAACCATTTGCTTTATTTTTTTTCAGATGATCAGCAGAATTGAATATGTGCATACAAAGAATTTTATTCATAGAGATATCAAGCCAGACAACTTCCTTATGGGCATTGGACGTCATTGTAATAAGGTTGGTACTCAAACTGATGTATTTATCGTGCTTTCAAAGGCGAGGGAGGTAAATCAGATATCAGTAATCTAGCTTTTGAAAAATAATGGATTAAACAGGAAAATATTTGAATTTTTCAGGAAATGAATGATTTTTATATAAAGGGCCACTCCCAATAGTTGATATTTTTTGAAAACCATGCCTTTTTGTAACATTTCTTGTATTGCTGTTAATTTTTTAAAAACCTTGAATTTTTAATGAATAATTTTAAAATTCCTTAAATTCAATTCAAACCAAAATGTGCTCTGAAAGAGTTCATATCGAATATGCATTTAAATGAAATCTTATCAGTCAAACCATTCTTGTCCTGGTTATTTGTAAGAAGGCTTTTGGCATGAGGAGGTGATTAAGGGTTAATATTGAGGATTTCTCCCAGAAATAAATTTTTCCCTATAGTTTTACAATGGGGATCCTTGATGTGCCTGCCTTCTAACACTTTACCATGACATAATGGAACTGATGGGCTCAATCTGGTTTAATTTTGAAACTTTGATTGCTTGGATCTTTTAAAATTTTAATGGATATTAAAACAAAATTGTGCATTTTGTGATTTTATTTTAATGACCTCCTATTTGACCGTGCAAAATAAATGAACAGGTGCTACATGATTGCTTTCCTCCTCCCATTTTAAGTGTTTTAAAATGTCCCCAATTGCAGGATTGGGTCTTTGATTGGAGTGGTGACTGTAATTGCAGGGGTCACACTATCCACTTTACAAGTAACTGGCTCGATTTGGTTAATTTGAATGTGACTGAAATTCTTCATATCAAGTTCTGGAATTGGTTGAATTTAAAATCTACCTGGTATGTTTTTTTTTGATTGGCTATTTTTGAACTGACAAGGTTTTTTTTTGCTTTAAGAGGCCATTAATATGGCAATAATTGCTTTGGGAGGAGATTAAGTCAATTGTTCATTTATTTTACCTGGCTGTTATAATGGTTGCTTGCCACTCAGATATTAGTTGATGTGTAAATAGAATTTTCCTGACTAAAAAAAATATCAATCTAAATGTGTGAATTTTTGTTATTCTTAAAAGTTGCATTTTATGGTTCCAGAGTAGTGATGTTCCATTTCCCTGGACTAAATTTTTGAGCTTTGTATGTTTGTGTGCTTGATTGAAGTTTGTCCTTTTTGAGCTTGAGCAGACAGGCAGCATTGGCAACCTCTCAGCATGCTGCATATGAGGTTATATTGGAGAAGTTTATAGTGATGGGACACCTTTTTGAATTGACCGATCTCTCAGATTTTGTGAATGTTTTTCATTAGTCACATTGATGTACGCTAGCTAAGCATGTTTTTTTTAACCATTTAAGAAGCTGCTATCCCTTAAGTGTTTACCAGAGTCTGCCTGTATGAATGCCAACTTGGGCTTATTAACTACGATTTTAAAGGAAGATTGTCTGCAAAGTTTTTCTTAACACCCTCCTTTCCCAACTCCTAATAAAAGTTCCGCGGTTCTTGGTTAGTTCATGCAAAATAACACATTCAGCTGTTTCCAGTGTAACAGAGCTAATACTTAAATGAACTGTTCCTCAATTGCATATAATATAGACTTGCCATGATTTTTAAAAAAAAAATCTATAAGACATCAGGAATGAATTTAGTGGCTTAAGTAGCTTTTTTGATTGGTTATTTTATACATCTTGCCACACATTCCCTAACCTTGAATATGGGTAATAGTTTTATTCCCAAGCCCCTTGTGTGCTGTGTTTAAGGTGATGTGTGTGAAGACTGGAATTAAAACGTTTCCTGCCTTTGGGAAATGCTTGAGCTCCTCTGAGCGGCTGCCCTGGACGATGCAGTTGAGATGAACTCTGTTTAGAAACTTCAGGGATTCATCTTCTGCACTGAAGGCATATCAGTTCCAGAGGTTTTTTTTATTTTGTGGAGAGAGGAATTTCCCTGAACTAAGTATTTTATTACTTTTAAATTAGGTCATTATTGACCTTCGGTTTGCAAGTCTGCCTTTGTTTCTTTCAAAATTATTTTTTTTTAAAAAAGAAGTCTGGAGATTTTTGATAGGGTTGGGAAGTGTTTGGCTAGTTTAGGCTTGAGTTTGCTACTCAGCAAGTATTATTTAAATTGATATTTGTTCAATGCAAAGTTTTGCAACTAGATCAAGCAGTGAACAACTTAACAAAGCAGCCATAAACATAGCTACAACATGCCCTTAACACATCTTTACATAGGCTAATTGTTGATGTGCTTCAGCAGACAGACTTCCTTTAATAAAAACCATGCTTATTAATTAGCAGTCGTTAAGTAAACTGCTTACATAATACAGTATGTACTACGCGATACAGATTACAGTGCATTCCTCTTATTTTCAAAAGTCTGGAAAATCAACTTAATACAAACAAAATGCATTCTTGTTGTTTGAATCTGTCCCCTCCCCCCCTTTCACTTTTCAACCACTTGCATGCTTCACTATTAATACATTCTGGACTGCCTGACTGGGTATATTTAGGCCAGTGCTGGTATCTGGTAAGCTTTCTCCCTGGTTGTCACTTTGTCTCAGTGCAGTTTTAATCTTGTGTGACTTAAGTTTGTTGCGTAGTCAGACGTTTCTAAATGATTCTGTTCAGGGCTTGTGAATGAACTTGAGTGGCAAAGAAGTATGCTTTGACCATTTAAAATAAATAAATGCATGCTAACTTTCCAATATTGGCTCGTTGAGACAGCATTAACATCTGTGTGCCATATCCAGAGTAGGAGAGTGTGATATACAGAGACTAGGTTGACTCTGGGATCTCTTTCAGGTATATGGAAAGGTTGATTTTAAAACTTCAGTGTGGGGAAGATTAGATAACCCAATAGCTTTTCTTACCACCCCCCCACCCCTCTTTCACCATCACCTTCACTTAAAAAAATGTTATTGGTAAGTGGACAGCACTGTAGTCTAATATTGCTGTAGACATAATGTACTTTCTCTAATCAACAGCTCGGAGAATTCATTGTATGCAATGAAGATTCACAGTATTGCATTTAAAAGGAGTAGACCTAATTCTGTAGGTGTGACTTGATTGCACCATGCCATCAATTCTGTATCTAATTGAGGTAGCAATTTGTGCTTGTGATCTGATGAAATGCTTATTTCAGAGAACTTTGCGTGCCTAACATGTAACCTTAATCATTTAAAACCTTTTGTAAAAGTATTTTGCCTAATGCCTTCTACCTCTTCCTTACTGAAGGTCTTGATATTCACACAAAATAAATGCCCTCCATAAAATATGTTGTATATCAATGTAACTTCTGGAAATCCTTAATATTAAAATGAGCATTAGATCCTCAGTTTATATGTAGCAGCTGTCTACTGCTGTATTTAAGACGCCATTATGAATATCTGGTTGAAGCTTTAAATTCAATAATTTTGACCTTTGCTTTAGAATAGTTATTTTTGAATTTGAAGAAGCACCATTATAGTTTCAAGGCCAGACCAGTAAAATGACCGTTGCTTCATAGATTTTACAGAATGATTGCAGTATCTATAGGCTTAACATAGGTACATTTTGTTGAAATCTTATACTGGGTACTGCTTTAATAACTTAAGGTCATGGGACATACTTGGCCAAGCTTTCCAGATGTCAGCTAATGCTACATATGACTGTACTAATACATCCACAGTTAGTTTTTTAAAAAAAACTGTGCTGTATATCAACATTATACAGGTGATGCCCCATAATCCCTTTTCTTTTCTTAATTAAGCATAGAATTAAACTTGGTATTGTTTTTCAATCCTAACAAGCTTTTAATTGTTTTCATTCTGAAAGAACTGTGGTGGTTTGCTTAATTGAAAACACGAAATTGATAAGGGCTGCTGTTAGGAAGATGGATGGCATTTGGCTACCCCTTAAAAGCCTTCGTGTTGCCTGTCTGCGCTGGCCTTTCTGTGTCAGCAATAATGTTCATGCACTGCCACAATCTTCATTTGTTCAGTGTTTAGAATCTCCAGTGGGGAAGAGGAAAAGAAGCATGACTGTTAGCCCTTCTCACGACCCAGCTTTCTCAGGATTAAATCAGGTCTGAAACTGTCTCCTACTCAAGCCACCCCAAATTCATTTTTTTCAATCAAAAAAATTTAAGACCACCACCTATGTTGGCATTATTCAGACATACATGGTAAACATATTTGTTTTTTTTGCTTGAAAATGAATTTCTTGTTACCTGCGTCTTATGTTCTCTAGCTAGGGTGTGTGTTACAAATAGGCTAACGTTTAAATTGTTTTGTGCTTTTTAATTTTTTCTTGTATTTTTGTGTATCTTTGTTCATTTTCTTAACTCCCCTCCAGTACTCTGACTGGAATGAGCACCTCATTCAGTTGTAACTGGCATAGGTGTGTGTGTGTCTCAAAGGCTGAGAAATTAGCAGTACTGGCAAAGTGATGGGAAGATTGGACTGTTGGCCTTCACTGGGCTCAACAAACTGTGCTACTTAGCTGTCGCATTGCTTCTGGTGACTTGTCTCATTCTGCTGCAGCATACAGCCCTTTAGGTCTTTTTCCAATGTGCTATTTGCATTTAATCGGATTTGGTGAATGAGACTTGGGTGGGGGTCATATTTCAGTGTATGTGGGTCTTTGAAGTGGAAGAAATTGTTGAGTAATTGATTGGAAGATATAATTTTTCAGAGCTAGTAATCAAACTGTATAGTGAACAAGAAGTCAAATAGGATATTGTGTGTGGGTGTTTGTGCAGGACTGTAGCGAATTTGATCATTTGAATCTTACTTGGATTTGACCTTGTTTGTTTTCCTTTCCTTATCCTGATTATTAGACATTTCCCCTTGTGTCTTATTTGTGAGACCTTGCTCTGGAGCAAATGGCTGCTACGTTTGCCTACTAATCATCACTACTTTAATTACCTGTGAAATGCTTTCAGACGCTTCAATGTGGTTTTGTCCATTCTTGTTAGATGCAGCATTGTGTGCATTTCTATTAACAATACCCTGAATGAAAAAAAATTGGTTATTTTGACACAGTCATTTAAATTGAGTGGTTGTTGGTCAACAACCTGAGTTTGATATTTCCTTTCAGCGTCTTCCCCTTGTCTTGTTTAATCAAAATACATGGTCTTGTACAAATCTCCCATTTGTACTTTAAAGCAGTTTTTCATGAGATTTACTTGACAATCTGCTATTAAATGGCCTGCTTTATTTAACAGTAGAGTGGATAACAGTATGTACATAACCGGGGCGTGTTTCTGAAATTATCAAAGTTTGGGATTTACAATATTGACTCATTTCATTGTTCATTTCTTTGTGGGACAGTGACCAGTTCAGGCTTGGGCAAGATCTGATGCCTATTTAATGCATCATAAACAAAAATGTCTAGCTGAAACTGATAAAAGCTTTCAATATTTTTGTGCAGGCTTAACCTGTGGTAACCTCAACAATCAGGGGTGATTTCCAGTTTTAACAGTGAACGAGGAAATCTTGGTTTGAGGTTACATACCCAAAATAAGGAGAAAAGAGTCAACTATACGAATTTCGAGTTAACTTGATGCATTTATTGGAAGGACTGAAGATAGCTGAACAAACTGAACATACCAATGTGGGGGTGCCAAAATGATTTAGTCAGGAATCAGAATAGCCAGTGAGAAAAGATGCATATTATGAGCTAGGATTGCAGATGTGGTGCAGGGTAACCGAATCATTGTAACAATGAACCCAATAGAGAGCAATGTGCGTATTTGCATTGTCTGAATAAGGTTTCCCAGAAGCAAGAGGTTATAACCCTAGAGACTCTCACTCTGGCTTTGATAACTGAAGCAGTTAAATAGCAATTTTGTCCCTGCTTCCTTGGTTTGAGAAAGTACCTTCCCTCATAAGGTGAACTGTTTTTTGGAGCTTGTGACTCCGGTCATAGTGCTGAATCAGGAGCAAACAACTGGTCTTTGGAGAAGCTGAAGAAAGCATGTGCTTGCATGCGAGTCGTGTCCTGGCAAATGTGCGTGTTTGCTGCTGTTGCCCAGATGGTTGACGTGCCCGGATAAGGGGAGTAGAATGTGGGAATAGATGGCTTCCCTCAATAAGAGGAGCTGGTAGGTAGTGTTTGTTCATGTAAGCTTTTGCTTTTATTTGGAGGTTTCAAGGTGAAAGAGATGAGACCACAGAAATCATCAGGTAGTGGGGAAGTCCAGCTATTGGATAAATAAACTAGAACAGGGAGATCCAGAACTATTTTGTAGCAGGTGAGTGTTATTCAAGTTGCTAAATCGAAACCCAGCCAAGGGGAGAATTTCCATAAAATTGGATTAATAGTGTTAAATGCTTTGTCAACGTGGATGGATGGATGAGTAACATTGTTGGTAAGGGAAGATATGACAGCTGTTATGAAGAGGAATCTAACAGTCGTGGGAGAGATAACTGAAGCAATTTAGATAGAAATCGTTATGTAAGGAAAAGTGCACCAAAGTGGTGAATTTAGGCAAAGTAATCCTAACATAATAGGAATTTAAAAAATCCCTGAATTCAAGCGGTTATTTCAGAATATTTTGTGGACCACAATGGTTTGGGGAAGGAGTTTGGAATGTTTGGAGGAAAGGGTATCATTAATTGGGGCTTTAGTTGTGGGCAAATCGGAGTTTTCAGGAGTTTGCTTCAGAGGTGCAGTGCAGCCCTCACTGGATAGGCTATTCGGGATGTGGGGGAATTGATCTTAATGGGCCAGTTGGCTTTCTTGTTCTTTCCTTATGTTAATTCACTTCAGAATTTCTGGGGATTGCTATTGTATTTGTCTCAAGCGTTCTAGTAAATTGTTCTTTATAATTGTGCAAGGCTTACAAGGCGATTTAACTATATGCTGCTGAGACTTTTTTAAAAAAAAAGTGGGTGGACAATTGAGCTTGATTTTAATTTATGCCATGCTCACCTTGTAGGTGGTGTCCAGAATTGATTTGCATCTTTAGAAAAACTGTTGTTGACTGTGGTGCATATATCCTGTTGACGTGAGTGGTTGGGTTCATTTAGAATTGAATTGTAAAATTATTTTAAGGTATAATTTAAACAAGTACTTGCAAAGTCACATGCTATGAAACCCCAAAAGGCCATGCGTTGGTTTCTGGGTGAGCACTGGGTGGTAACTTTAAAAATAAGGGAGGTGATCACGAATTGGGAAGATTAATCTGGCTTGCTGCAAGCTAAACATGCCCCCAAAATTAATGATAATAGTAACTTGGTCACTCAATCTACAACTCTTTGTGGGACACTGCTCTGTGCAATTGGCTGCCACATTTTGCTCACAAAATAAATATTCAGTCAATTCCCTTTACAGTATATTCTGTGAAGGGCTTTGAGACGTCTCAAAGACGTGATAAGGCGCTATATCAAATGCATGTATTATGATTGAAAATAATTGCTCTCCTGAATTGTCAAATGTAATGACGTTCCTATGCTTTATTGAGCATCCTCCTTGCACTTGCAAATTTTCAGCACTGCATTTTAAATGCTTGTTCCTGTGATAATGTTCAGACAACCATCGATTTAGGATGAAAAGTACAGTTTTTTGCAAACTGAAAAGGTGACTAGGGAGCTTGTTCCTCACTTTTTTACTGAAATACATTTTCATTCAAACAAAAGAGTAAATCTGATTCCCCCCCCCCCAACTTATCTAAATTCTGTGTTTCATGGCCTGCATCTCATGAGAGTAGCTGGTTAGACATGCCTAATGTGTAAATACACAGATTGCCACAATCAGATCACTGAGTAGGAAGGGTATCTGCAAATGTTTGAAAAAAATCCCCTTGTCACGCAACCAACACATGTTCAGTTCTGGATTTTAAACTACCCCATTTGATGAAAACGTTTGTATGTCTTACTATTGAGGTGAAATAGTTAACTATTTCTTGAGAAGGAAACTAGGACCCAATAGAATAATTTGCTGATGCAAATATTTTTTTGGGTTGCACTACTTGAATCCACACAATCCACATTGAAGTGCTGATGTCGTTGTAGGAGTGGTGAAGCATGGTGATTTGTTTTGACACCAAAGTGCGAATTTTGAATGCTTTTGATTTGTGTGCATTTGGCAATTTGAAACCCAACACAGAACAAGTCCTAGTTTGTCCTAAATTCTTGATTTTTATGACTAGGAAAATGTGGAGTGAGTTCCATTGCTATCGTTTATGTCTTAAACGATAGAAAAGTTCTTGAGGAAGGGAGTTGTGGGAGACTTGTGACTCGAGTGGAGGCAACAGAAATTCAAGATAAATGTGGCATTGGCAGATTGGTGCTAATTGATCAACTAAATGCAAGCTTGGAGAATACATACATTTTTAATTACTTAAAAATTGCGTTTTAAAATCATCCTTTTTAATTTAAATTTGAAAATTGCAGTTGAATATTGGCTTTATTCTGCTTTTTCAGCAAAATGAGTTTGAATTAGCATAACTATCCTCCCCTAAAACCAAATGTATTTACATTCTACCTGCTTCTTGCAAATGCTTGTTGCTAACTGACATAATTAGACTTGGATTCTCAAAGGAATTCTTCAAGATATGCTCCTACAGTTGCCTAATCAGACCTTCAAGAGAATTATTTTTAGAAAATGCAGCTTTATACAGTAGCTAGTATTTCACATTCTCTCAGCAGCTCATTGATTCTTAACAAAGCAAATTTCCGTTCTATGCCTTAGTGTGATATTGATGATATTGATGATAGATCAGGAGGGCATCAACATTATGGTGAACTTCTTAGAGGAAACAAATGCTGTTCCCCACTACAGAAGTTTCTTTTACGAGATTAATATTCGAAATAAATCATTTTACAATTCTGCTGGATTATTCTTTACTCAGCATACAGCTGAGAGTAGATGTACTCCTCCCAACCTCCTCTGCTCCAGTGATAATAATCCCATCTTCTCTCGCCTCTCCTGATAACTGAAGTCCCTCATTCCTGGTACCATCCTGGTAAATCTCCTTTGCACCCTCTCCAATATCTTGACATCCTTCCTAAAGTGTGGTACCCGGAACTAAACAATCTCTAGCTGAGGCCTAACCAGTGTTTTATAAAAGTTCATCACAACTTCTTGATTTTTGTATTCTATGCCCCTATTTATAAACCCTAGTATCCCATATTCTTTTTAACAGCCTTTATACACATTTAGGCCTGAAGATTTTCTGTTTGTTGAAAATGAAGTGCACTCTTTTTTCCCCAGAAGGATACACCCTGCTTACTTCATTCCAGAAGGTGTTAAGTGCAGGGTGGCTGAGCCTGTGCACGTTGGAGTACTGTTGGAATTTAACCAAATAAAACTGCATAGCTTGCCATTTCAAATACTGTCTGGCAAACTTCCTGCTGCCTGTCCACCTTCACCTTGCTGATTTGGGGGCTTTGATCTTCAGTGTTAATTGGAGCTGATTGAGAAAAATCCCTGCCCCCAGTTGTCTGCCCTTCCAAGTCCCACCAAAGTTTGGCATGGTCTGGCATCGAGTACTGAGGGCCCACTGGCTTTATTGCATAGACTGAAACAAAGGATCCACTCAATTCTGATTACTTAATTGCCAAGCACCTTGCCTTGGAGCCAGCTCAGCCCAAAGGTGACCCTGCAACCTCGTTCACTTCCTTTCTCAAATTAAATGTTTAAACATTTTGAAGAAAAATGTGGTACACGCTCTCTCAGCCTATACAGCCAGAGCCAGTGTTATGCTTTCTGCTGTATGTGGAAGTCATTGCTCTGAAGTTCTGGTTTACACAGCAGGAAAATATTGTTCAATGAGCTAAGTGACCCATTTTTCTTCATAAAATTACCTTTGAGGTGCAAGTTCAGTATAATATTGCACGTGCTCCATTCTCCCAACACCACCACGTTTTCAATGTACTCGCCCACAAAATATACAATCAATTCATTTTATAGTATATTCTGTGAAGTGCTTTGAAACACCTCAGAGACAGAATTAGGTACTATGTCAAATGCAAGGATTATTATTATTACTCCAGGAGTAAGTGTCTTTTCAAGGAAGCTATACATTGTAGTTAAATGTCGTAATGCAGCCGAGGAGCACTGACTTGTTTCTGGGAAACAATTATTTTGTGTTGAATTTGTTTTGCATTCAAGTTCTGCACTGAAATTGTGTAATGTGTGAATTTGATTCTCTGCATGGTTTAGTTTTGCGAACGGTGTTCTTTAATGTTCATCTGGGGGAATGTTGATGTATTGTTAGTAAAACTAAGGCTGATTATGATCCAAACAGGAAGTGTGGATGGGAAGGAGGAAGCTTGAATTTGGCAGTGGATTAATGGTTTATTGGGCTGTATGTTTGGTATTGACTTGAATGTGGCTGCAAAGCGAATGTTTCTTTGGGAAACTTTGCTCTTTTGGGCTTTTATATTCAGAGCTAGTATGCACTATTTTGATTGATTTTTTTTCAAAATTTTAAATCGATTAGTTAGGGAAGTAAAGTTGTAGCCCCTTTGTTTTTGCATATTACATAGCCAGTCATGTTTAATGCTTTCAATTTTGTGTGTTAATCTTACTGTTGGCAAACACCATTATAGCTTGTGTTCAATATTGCCATGCTTTACAAAGAGATGTTTGAGAATAAAAATGTGGCTTCTGGGCACTGGGTTTAGTTTACATTGTCTACTTCATCTTGCAGTTGTTTCTGATTGACTTTGGTTTGGCCAAAAAATACCGTGATAACCGGACAAGACAGCACATACCGTACAGAGAAGACAAAAATCTTACAGGAACAGCACGTTATGCCAGCATTAATGCACATCTAGGTATTGAACAGAGGTAAGCTTTTATTTAAATTACCGCCTTGTTTGGTGATTTTTTTTGAGTATAGGCACAGTTGTGAATCCTTGAGGTTAGTAAAGTGTAGTTAATGGGAAGTTAGCATGCTGGTCTGTTTTGTCACACTAAAATTGATACATCAAATGGGATACATATCACAAGTAAATATTTAATGGCATTAAATAAACCAGCATTGATCTGAGCATTTTTGCAAATAATTAATCTCTAAGGTATAAGTACATGCTATCCTCTGACATATTGCCTTTCTTTTTCAGTCGTCGTGACGATATGGAATCACTAGGTTATGTACTAATGTACTTCAACAGAACAAGCCTTCCTTGGCAAGGATTGAAGGTAAATCATAAATAGGCATTTAAAACGTTTGCACGTAAGAGCACATGTCCGAGATAAAACGTAATGTAAACTGGTATCTCCTGGCTTGCGTCCTTGTATCTGAGCAGTTAACAAGGGTTGATCTTAACACAATATTGCTATGTTTGTGGGGTGGGCAATTTGTCTATTGGGCATGGAGACTTTTTAAACCAGGTACATGTTCAGAACTGATTAATTGATCTTACAAACTGAAATTTTGTGCCAATGTAAATTTGTTTTATTAAACAATTTGCTCATGTTTAGTTATTTTTTTTAGTACAATTGGCTTACATTCTAGAATATCTGTTCCACAGGCAGCAACAAAGAAACAGAAGTATGAGAAAATTAGTGAGAAGAAGATGTCAACCCCAGTTGAGGTTTTGTGTAAGGTATGTTTTTGTTCCCAGCATAATGCAGGTGTAGGTAAAAGCTAATACATTGGATTCTAGTGCAGATTGGAGTCCTGTTGAAATTGAACTAGCCAAAGCTTTGCAACTTACCAGTGCATCTTTTAATTCCCTATCTGTGACTTGTCTACCTCTACATCCTATTGATGGGGTCACAAAGACTAGGCTGTCATTAACTGAGCCCTGGAGAACTCATCAGAGTTTGAGGTTGACTGCACTCCCTTTGCCATCCATTTTGACCTTTATCTGTCATTTTCTCCCCACCCCTCCAAAAACACATCACAAGGTTATCAGTTGGTTTACGGTCAGTAAAGTTTGACTATTGTTTTTCTTGTATATTAGGGTTTCCCAGCTGAGTTTGCAATGTATCTGAACTACTGTCGTGGGCTGCGATTTGAAGAAGCACCAGATTACATGTATCTCAGACAGCTTTTCCGCATTCTTTTCAGGTATTGTACTTTTAGTTTGATTCAGTGTCTTTACAGAGAAGCTTCAGTAAAATTGAAAAACTGCAAGATTCAGATCAGACAGAACTTCCAAAATTTATTTGGGTATATTTAATGTGTGTGTATGTGTGTGTGTGTGTGATATATATATATATAAAAAATATACAAATGTATATTTGCAAATGAATGCTTCTGCTCCTTTATCCTTTCCCTTGTTTGGAACACAGATTTGCTCTTCATATGTGATTAGAACAACCAGTTTTGTGGTGAATGATATTTAATCTCTGAAATTCCTGTTTTCAGAACCTTAAATCACCAGTATGACTACACTTTTGACTGGACGATGTTGAAGCAAAAGGCAGCACAACAAGCAGCTTCTTCTAGCGGGCAGGGACAACAGGCCCAAACACCCACAGGCAAGCAAACCGAGAAATCCAAGAGTAACATGAAAGGTTAGTCACCAGTAGCCAAGTGATTTGAAAATGTTCGCAGGCAGAGTGCAGATAATTGGGTGACTTGCATGTTCCGAAAACAAGTGTTGAGCTCAGTTAACCATCCTGCCACAATGAGTTGATGATCAAATTCATTCTTTGGGGATTGCGGTATGAAATGCCCCATGGCATAAATTGATGCCCTAGATTCACATCTGTTCGTAGACCCACCCAACGCATGATCTGAATATGAAAAGGCTGTCATTTGATTGGAGATAAACTTTGCTCATGTGGTTGAGCATAGCTCTTACTTACCCAGTTTTGTGCCGCTAGAAAAATGTAAAAGGAATGGAATTAGTTAGTTTTTGTTTGTTTAGTTTTCCACATAATAAATCCACATTGTAAGGCAGTTTGTGTGCTTAATATACAAATATTGTGCAAATTTGCATTCCTTATGTAGATACTAATTACTGCAACTTGCAAACCAATAATTTAGTTACGCAATCCATGACTGTTTGTGAACCTCTGATGTGTACAACTGACTGCCATGTTTTTCCCACAAAATATACAGTCGGTTCACATTACAGTATACACCATGAAGCACTTTAATACATCTCTAAGATGTTATTGGGCACTATATCAAATGCAAGAACTTATTTTATTATTACATATTAATCTTACACATGACATTGGTGTAAAATATGGCTTGCTTAAAATGACATGGGCAACGGATGTAAATATTAACACATTTGTCTCTCTGACAGGTTTTTGAGAGGTTGAAGCAAAGGAGCAGAGCAGCATGTGAGCAGAAATTGCCTTTTGTCACTCCCGTTCTGATTTTTGTTTCACATGTACATGTCATTCAGTGGACAACCATTTAATTGACAAACTCGACTGGATACAGCTGACTGACTCTGGGAAGAACCTATGAAAGTTTTACCTGCAACTGTAGCAGCCTTTAATCAAACAAATATTCCTGGAAAAGCGCAATTTCATCTTTCAAAATAGAGCAACTGAAGCAGAATTGCCGGTGTACCGTTTTCTTTATTCAATAAGGGGGATGTAAAAGTAGTTGACACACAACGGAGAGAAGAATTAACATTGTGCATTTGCCAATTTTTTCCCTTTGTTACACTGCTTGGAATTTAAATGTTTCATATACGTACGGCACATGGAAACTGTTCTGTAAGCGGTCTCTGAATTCAGCCCACACTTGTACAACTTGAAAGGTGCCCGGCATTGCCCATCTTTTCCTTGTATCGGCTCCCAAATCTGTCTAATGGAAAGTGGTCATTTTAAAATCTTTAAAGGTTTGGATTCTCTCTTAAAAGCTTCCACAGCCAATAGTAAACTGATAGCAACCAAAGAATCCATGTTTTCTGTTGGAAGGACTTCTTTCTGCCTGCTGTCCTATGCTAGATTGACACCTAATGTGAAGAGATGACAGAAGTAGTGACTACTAGATAAATCTAGAACTCTGCATTAACTATATTGTACTTGGTTAAAACGAAAAGCTTAGTCATCACAAGCTTAGCTAACAACTTAAGACTGAACTTGTATGTAAATTGCTTAGATAGCATTGTAATCATTGTACACATCTACTCTCTGATCTGGGATTTACAGTGTTTGTTTCTGATTGTCGGCTTTTTTTGTTTACATGTTAATTGAATAAGAAAACTGCATAGTTCCTGTAAAAGAATAGGGTTATTTTATATTGCTGTGCTGGACTTCCCTGTTTGCAAGTGCCCCTTTCCCCTTCAACTTTGGTTCACTTTTATCAGTAAACTTTCAAGCCAATTGTTAATTTAAAATGTTCCATTTCTTTCGCAGATTTTAGATTTCTAGGCAGATATACCATTTTCTCCTTTTTTTAAAAAATACAGTGGTGTTTTTTTTGTAAAAATATATTTTGGGGGTTTTGTTAGTTTTGTTATTGCTGCAGTGAATTGATTCTTAATAGAAAATATGTATCGTTAAGATGGAACCCCTGCAGCATCCAAGCAATGCCATTGTATACACGGCAATGGCTGAAATTTGACGTTCCTTTGAAATTTCAGAAAAAGTGTGTTGGAGTTTTTTTTTTACTTTTTGATCTTGTAAAATGAATGAAAATTAACTCATGTTCAGCAAACCAGATGTACAGTGCAGAAAGGGCAACTGTTGCTGGCTATGGTTCTGGCCCAGCTAAAATCTTATTGCTGGAAATAACAGTGTAATTTATTCCTTTTTAGCATGTAAGAATAAATTAAATTACTTGTCGGAAACACCTGACCAGTCTTAATTTTTGCCAGTTCCTTGTGGAAGGTATTGTCAGAGAGGTGTGCAAACTAGAATTAATTTCTGTTGTGAACTTTGTTCACATGTATAATTGAGCAATGTTTGTGTTTCATAATTACTTATTTTAAGATGAACGTAGTTGGTTACTCTAGTGTACCGTAAGGACCAGTAGCCTTTTCCCATAATTTTTCATAACAGGAACTTAAGCATTGATTGTAATCTATTGCCGATTAGCACTTTTTGGGGAAAAATTGACATTTATTTTATGTAAATTCACAAACCATGTTGTATGTTATGCCTTGAAATTGTTCTGAATGTGTTTTCATGTTGCTCTCATGTTCATTCCTAAATCTAACTAACCTTTTTATAGGTTCAGAGTATCCATCTACAGAGTGCTTGTTACAGGTTAGGGTATAACATAAATATTCAACTACTTAGGTTAAAATTTGCCCTTTTTCTTTTAACATTTTATTGACTTAAAGAGTGGTGTGTACAAGAGTAAAGTGTAAGTCTTAAGTTGAAGGGAAAAGGTTCACGATAGCTTGGCTCATAGGATTGGCAAAGTGTATTTATGACCACATTCTGAATGCTGGTAGCTACTGTTCAAAGCACTTTTCTGTCACAACAGCCACGCAGAGGCAACACAAAGAATCCCCAAATTCACATACGCACAGCTAGACAACCCCTGAGGGGGTATGTCGATTATTCCCCCCCGCCCCCCCATTCCCGTTGGATAAAACCCACAGAGGCTAATGCCAAGATGTGATGAAAGTTTTTACGGCTAAGTATTGACAATCGATTGCATGTTTTCAATTTCTCTCAGACATTGTAATCCTACGAGTCAACCTATGCAAATCACCATTGGTAGGAGTAGGATGTCCTAACCTCTTATTTCATAGTACAATATATTAAGGATTGAGTTTATCAGTGATTATGATGCTGCCAAATAAGTTTGTCATAGTTGAGACCTCCAGCTTTCTCATTACGTTTTTTTCCTATTAGTCTATTCTAGCTATCACATTTTTATCGATTTGTTTTTCAAATGGGTAAAGACAATTTATCATGGGTTTTATATATCGAATATCTGTATATGTTGGGATACCGTGACATCCCTGGATGGAACCGAAGCATATGTTGCCAATCAGCATGCAGTTTTTAAACGTGTAGTACAGCTCTGTATTACTTGTGTTGCATCTATCCAAAGTTTTGAATAAAATACAAAAAATGTTTTGAATTAACCGAGAGGAATTCAGACATTACATGTACACATTGGTATAAGGATTGCATTGATCTGATGAGTATTTGGCAATTTGATTGCAGTTCTGCCAGATGAGTGTTTAATAGAGAGAGGATATATGGTGCAATGTAACAGTGAGTTGTGTAAATCTCATGCTGACTCTTCATTTCTCATCAGTGGGTCAGTCATTGGTGCTATGGAAAATCACTGCTTGCCAACCCCATCAATTGTTGCACAGGCTCAATGTGTATTGATCTACACATCCCATGGTTGCAAACAACCACAATTCAAATAAATTATGGTTGCAGTTAAGTTTTGATCAATAATTGGGAGTGGTATTTGGAGACGGACAGGGGAATTTTACTAGTATGTTCAGATTTCTGAATGGACAGTGATGTATTGCATATAAGCAAACTTCTACACAATAAATATTCTACGTTTGGATCAATTTGCAATGGCTTAATTGGAGAGTGGATAATGAGGGACTACTGCACAATCCTCTTTTCCTTTCTTGGCCCTCTCCCTGATGTGGTAATTGGTTGACACTTTTGACTGACGTGTAGAATGTACAAATTTGTTTCTGGGTGTTAGTTTCTAAATGGACTCTCCACTGTTCATACTTCTAAATTTCACACCAGCAAATGTGTTCTAAAAATACTGTAGTGCGGAAGAGGACAATTGATGGTTCATTGAAGCTGTCGTTTAAAGTAGGTTTAAATGGAAACGACTGACATTTTGTGAATTCTCCAGAACTTGCAAGATATGACCATAATAAGCATTGCTGTGAAAATCTAAGTGAGAAGTATTTTGTATGGAGTTGTAAAAAGATGTTGATCTTGTAATTGTAATCAAATGTTGCTTTATGTATTTTCGGTGGCATAATTGGCTAAATATTTGAAAAATTCCTTATGACCAAACTAAATATTGCCAAACTTGCATGTTGCTATTTTGGAGAAGTGGGAAATGGACTATTGTAGTTTTGAAATTAATTGCATTCTCTTGTTTTTTTTTATATATAAAATACCTGATAGAGAGTAAACTGGCAACAATTAAGCTTGATTTTTTTGCAATTCAAGCCCTAATTTATTTAGTATTTACAATATTATAGCAATATCAGCAAAAAAACTGTTTCAGGTTCCTATTCTGTCGTATCAATGTTTTCATTCTCTTCCTGACCGGTCATGCAAACCTATTGTGTCAAAATAACCAATGAATGTTGTCTATACTAGGTATTTAGGTTATTGAAAGAGATCAGTATAGAACAAGAGGCAGAAACTGCCGCGTTTGAGCAACTTTATCCGTGTGATCTTTCAAGTCTTTCCGCAGCTTGCTTCATGCAACATTGAGAAGTGCTGGGGTATGTTATCCTCTACCATTCCTGCTACGTATAGGAATGATTTCGGTGTATTGAGGTGAGTATTAAAGCTAGCTAAACCTGCTTCAGTAATGGTTTCATTGGATGACTGAAAATTCCTGTGGTGGCTGTCACTGATATCAGTGGTAACAGTGGTAACCCGATCATGACCTAGTTGACTGGTGATAAGGCAGGCATGGTGACGGAAAAATAAATCTGAAAATTATTAAAACATTTGGAGAGTGACGGTATCGTAGATAATTTCTTCCCGAAGTGCTCTGGGTTGCTACCCTGTGTGAGGGGTGCTATACAAATGCAAGCTGTTGTTGAAGGAGACACCCAAGGGCAAGGGATTTCACTGACAAAAGGTTGCAGTGCAATAAGCAAAAGCGAACAGGCAACAATTGGAAATCAAAAATTTTTTTTGAGGATAATGGCTAGTCTGATTTGTCACAGAGGATTACCAAAATGTGGGTCACTGCTGTTGTGTCCAGATGTCTCTGCTCACTTGCCAATACCTATTCAGTTTGTTGAATGAGTATACAAAAATGAACTTAAAATAGTTGAGTTACAGTAAACAGTTTTGAATAGCCAGTGAAAAGTATATCCAGCCACTTTGTATAAAACTAAATGATATTAAAATTGCAATAGATACAGTATAGTGCCTATGCACAGTGCATTGCAAGTATTTTCAGATCCTGAGATTAATTCACATCAGCTCGGTTTAATCAATATGGCATGATAATCTTCAGAAGTTCAGAAAAGTATTCACTTTCTCCCAAACTAGGCTAACTACTTTATAACTGTCTTAACCAATATTTCTGGATGTGTAACATTGTGCAAAACAACTGTCAAGAAGTGAGTTTGCTGGACAATGCCTGAGAATACCTGCATTAATTCAGTGTGTGTGGGTCTTACCATTAATAATCTTTGCATTTGATATAGCACCTTATCATGTCTTCGAGACGTGTCAAAGCTCTTCACAGAATTGACTATATTTTCTGGGCAAAACACTGCAGCCAATTGCACACAGCAGTGTCCCAAAAACAGTCGTGGATTGAGTGACCAATTTTTTTTTGAACTGCATTATGGACAGTGTAAGACTATTATTCTGTTCCGTGCTTTTGTTGTGGGTAGCTGCAGTGTAGGTAAAACTTTTGTTGTTCTTTTCATGAAAAAAATCTCGAAATCTTCATACGGGGTGGTGGGGGGTTGCTGATGTTGCAACAAAGGCTCATCAGAACTCTGGTTTTATTAAATAAAATTCTCAATAAGGGATGAAACACTGAATAAAATCGCAATTCAAGTGGAACTTCAGAAAGTTCCGTCAACCTCAAAGGAATATATTGAAGGCTCAATAATGAGGTCGTCGGGTGCACTGAAGAATGATGATCACATTAGTGGGTTGCCTCACCAGTGACATTGTATCACTGCATTGTGTAATAGGGAAATAAAAAAAACTTGACTATTTTAGACGGGTTTCCAGTATATTCCAGTGAACAGTATTTTGTGTATGACAGATGTGAGCAGCTTAGAATGGATAGATATCTATGGGTTTATTTATATATATATGATAAAAAATATATATAATATCAAAAATATATATAAGCACTATAGAACTCTGGCTTTAGTGAACATTTTGACAAGTAAAAAAGCACTTAGCTTCATTGTGAACAATCTTGTTAAAAATAGATGTTTGAGATTATATGTCACTAGCTGTGCAGTTTTGTCACGTACTTTCTGAAAGCCTCTAGAGTTTAGTACAAGCTTTTTTAAAAAAAAACACTTAACTAGATGAAGGTTTTCCATCTCTAGTTGATGGGCCTAGAAACACAATTCATCTGTTAATTGTGTTTGAGATTGATCTCTGAGTTGATGGAAAGTATATGCTGATTGCATTTAATATAGGAGATAGATACACTAAGTAAGCTGTAGGCTAAGTACAAGTAGAAGATGTTTTGTTGCTGAGGCACTTTTTAAAATTGCAATAGCTACTATGATTTCAGCACCAGCACTGCAGTATCAGGAGTTGTTTTAACCCCATTCTTTTTCCAAGATGGGTCTTCATCTTACATTTGGAAACAACAGTAGGTTAATGGTACACATACACTCTCTCTCTCTCTCTCTTCTCCTCCCCCCCCACCCCATTCCAGTACCAACAGGGCTAGTGCCTAGTTAGCCCTGTTGCCCAGCAGTGCAGAGATTGTAATGCAGTCGCGTGTGTGAGCTAATTCACTGCTTGTGCTCTGCCCTGTTATGTCAGAGGCAGCATTCCAGCATCCACATTCCTGGGTCGTTTAGCACCGGAACCCGCTCTGAACCACCTTACAAGATTAAATCTGGCATAAATGTCCAGAGAATTGGCTTCATTTCATGTTCAAACTTTTGTAGTTTTCGATTGAAACTCCCACTATTTTTTTTAAAAAAAGATGCTAGCATTAATTCTGCCACTTATAAGCTGCTTACTCTGGAATCCAGAGCCTCCACCAATGACCTTCATGAGCATTCATGTAAGGTATGTTTAATGGAAGTGTTAAACATTGCAAGGAGTTTGAATTGAAGTGGCTAAAAATCAGCTTGACAGTTTAATTGACTATCAATTATCAATCTCTGCCTGTGACGAGTCCCATAAATCTCTGAATATATGTCTCCACATATTTATAATATATAAGGGGGTAATCGTTCCTTCAAAAAATAATGGATTTGTCACTCAATCCACAACTGTTTGTGGGACACTGTTATGCACAATTGACTAGTGTTTCACCAACAAAATATACAGTCAAATCAATTTACAGTATATTCTGTGAAGCGCTTTGCGATATCTCAAAAACATGCTAAGGTACTATATCAAATGCAAGAATTATTATTATATTGTGCCCATGGTATTTAATGGCATTCCACAATTAGCATTGTATCTTTGAAGAGCATCAGAACTTTTTTTAAAAAAATAAAAGTGTGAAATATCTCATTTCAGGACTGATTTACTGTGGAAAATTAATGTTGGAAATTTGTTTTAAAATTTTGGGAGATATTTCTGCCATGAAGGGGATCCTGCAATAATACTCCTGGCTCCTCAGCAAACTTGTGCAGGTTTTCCAGGCCTGAGTCACACTGACTGGCCTGGGATTGTAAGGTTTCTGTGTAACCAAAGACATATTACCAGTCCTTGAGACGCCTTCTCAAAGCCCTGCCATCTTTGTTTAAAGGGATTTACTTGGGCTGTAGCTCCTTATCACTTCATACATTTGGTCAATTTCTCAATTGATGTACATATGTAGGAGCCATGGCCAGGGTACATTCATTGCCTTAAACTTCTCCACATTAATCTGAGCCATGGGAGGTAGTTGGCCTAGTGGCAGCTCAGCTTTCTACGTGGATGTTGCTTTTGTCACCAGTACAGTTTACAGTGACGGGAAAACAAGGTTAACACAGCTTCTGCTGCTGTTGCCAATATTTTCAGATTGCACTGAAGAAATGAACCAAGTAAATAAGTGAATGACTCAGCTCCCGTTTCCTACTAAAACAAGATAGAACTTGCCCTTAATTTCTGTCTGAGTTGCATTATCCAGCCTTGGCTCAATTATGTTTTTTGTGTGCATGTGTGTTGCACGTATGTCTGTTTGTAGGATACTACAGATACGTACATT